TCATTTTCTTGGGATATTCGAGCAAACGAAGAAGACAGGTGAGATTATCATTGTTGTTATTATTATCATATATATATATATATATATATATCTAATAGTTTATCTCCGATAAATTTGCACGCTTGTAAAATCAACCATTTGGACATATAAAAATGTTACAGAGTATAGAGAATAATTCTTCCCTTTGCATAAATAAGTATTATTTATTTATCCCTAAACGTATCTGATCTAAAATGTCACGCCTAGTTGAAAATATTATTTTTATATGAGGATACATGTAATTGATCTCCTTTTCATACGATAATTCGTTGTTGCAAATATAATTACCGTCGTCCATCCTCCTTGCGAACATATATGATTTTTGAAGTTTTTATTTGTTACGTAGAAAAAACATTATTACTTTTAATTTTACTACTAGTAGTAAATTTTAACTTTTCACAGAGATATTATGCAAAAATATTACCTTGATATATCAATATGAATGAATAAATTTAATTTTAAAACATTAATATAATAAACAAATTCGATCGTATAATAATAATTAAGGAGATTTTATGGGGGAAGAATAAAAAAAAATCATCTTTTCACTTTATCTTTGATAGATACGTATGAATGTCATTGTATTCAATTATTTTCCAAAAGAAGATCAACGTCCGCTACTTATTTCCTATGCACGACGGTCAACAACGAATACTTTGTATTCAGGAGGAGAAAATCAACGTCAGTTAGGAATCTCCTCGCGTGACACTTTAATGTGCTTCCCCGCTTCCTATTAATTTATAATACCTAATAGTTATAATATGGCGATAATTTAAATTGAAATTTTTCAATTCGCTTTCGACAGGTCTACCGGAATCTGTACGAACGGTATCAAAATGACATCGTTAAATGAACGAAAGTGGATAATATCGAATATAATTGGGATGTCATTGTTATTAATTGGTTCGTCTGTTTCTGGATTGGATCATAGCGAAGCATTGCCATCTAATCATAGAAATGTATCCGCTACGTTGAACCTAATGCCAGAGGCTAGGAACACCGAAGATCAGGATTCTAAAAATCAAACAATTCGTATCGCGGACATCGACTTGACAACGGAACGATATTCGATTCAATATTCTCCGAATGTCAGGAAAGATTCGAAGAAAGTAAGAATACCTTTAATATCTACGTCAGGTGGTAATAATTATTATGACGGTCTGAGAAACATCAAAATTTTCACGAAGAAGGACACTTATCTCGAAGCATTAGAACATTCACATACGAGTAAAGATCCAAAGGAAGGTGTGGTACATGCGGATGTTAAGCCGAAACTCAAGAGACGAGAATACATTCAAGGGCCAGTTTATAAGCCTGAAACGGAATACGGTGCTCCGAAAGAACCTAACACGATTTATGGTACGCCAAATGATTTGGAAAGTTCTTCGAAGAGAACGAAGAATTTTTATAGTTCATCAAGCTCTAATAACTTCTTAGCTAGACCTGCCGACGGTTATTTGCTGCCTGATCAATCCTCGATAAACTTTAACGATTACTCCGTTTATCCTGAAAATTCTTACGGGCAGGCTCAAACCAATTATGGTCCACCTCAAAGCAATTATGGTCCGCCTAGTCAGACATACGGAGTACCTGTTCGTCCACAACAATTTGACGAATTGCCTTTCGGAAATTCGTACATGTCGCATCAGCAAGGTGAGGCGAGAGGTACCGTATTACCGAGATGTAAAGTCTACTACTTTTTACCTTTCTCTTCTTGTCACTTTCTTCTTATCACTTCAATATCGATGACGATACAAATAAGCTATAAAAAGAGAAGAAGAAAATAAACGAATCTATTGTTTGCAGGTTACGATAGTTCAGGTGGTATACCTTACGAACACACCAGTTCGTCTCTCATCGAGTTTCCTAGGATAGATCTTTCCTGGCCGTTCGCATTAAAATTAAATGCCTTCACCCTCGCAAAGATCTTGCTTAAATTGGTACTCTTCAAGATGATCGTCAAATTCATCGCCGTTATTTGCTTGTTGCTCTTCATACCCAAATTAGAGATTATCAAGAAGGCCAATAAGGACGAGGCCGAGGAAGAAGGTCGTGTTCTCTTTTCTTGTAAGTTCACGTTCCTTCTCCAATATAACTTCCCGAGTATAAGTTTCTCCTTTTATCCAGCAAGGCGTGTTACGAATGCACGCACGACGGTCATACTTGCCTCTGATTATGCAATCCATGAACGACGGAGCGTTTATCCGTAAATTCAACCGGTTAGGATATTCGATCTTGCGGTTTAATATCTACTCGGATTTACAGATTTATATTTTCGTGCTAACTCGTAACTCGTGTTAACCTTGATTAATTGCAAATGCATTCCTCGAAATATATACATTTCTTTTCCTCTTACTGATCTCTTGATCAGAAGATGTTCCAACATATTTTATTATTTATTATCTTTATCTTTTCCTTTTCTTTTCTTTTTCTTTTCTTATCCTTTAAGCTAGCACAGCCTGGGAACGATTGAACCTTTTAACCGAAGTGGTAATCAACTCCGTTGATAATTATATGGCGCAAAATGAAGATGGAAGGTACGAGGAGAGATCGAAAAATGACGAGGATTGCAGTACGTTAATGTGTCGTCTTCGAAGTACGTTCCTTTATAAGGAATCTTGGAGGGATTACGTGGAATTGTTTAAAAGTTATCTATTGGAAGAGAAGGAAATTGTTGAAGGGAAACGACGGTCGATACGATGATTGTATTATATTACGATGATCGTTAGTTAAGAGGCACCGATCGTCAAATCTCAGTGGTACCTAATTTATTTTCACTTTTCGATTATCCATTTGCTTATGTATTTATTTATTTATAATAGTTTAATTAGGTTATCTTAATAAATTCATCGTCCATGTGCGCGCTTATGTGTCCGACTATAAATTATAATTAATCCGACAAGCTCGGATCTCGCTTAGCGAAATAACAAATTATAAGATTATTCGGAAATAAAGGCAACATCTTTCTCTCTCTCCCTCCCTATCCTCTTCTTCTATTTCCAATGCGATTTATCGGACAATACGAGATATCATTCGAGCACGGAGAAATGATTCCCCATATCATTTTACGTGCATAATACGCTCTCTACGCAGTTAGCTCATGCCCGATGCGATCACCTCAAGCTTTATTCAGGTGGGGATAGCTCCAGGGAATAGGTTATAAACGTCGTAGCGGAGTATAGCGCCGTGTCAGTCTCATTTCGATAACCATCTGAAAGCGAGCCGCAACCGTATCGGATAATAAAAGATCTTCTACTAAGAAGTCGATATCATTGAGAGAACACGATGCAACTAGCATTTGCATTGGGTGAGTCGTGATAACAAGGGTGATACTTGACAAAGCTTGCATCTATACGCTTATAACACACATTTGATAAATAAATTTGATAAAGTTTAATAAACAATAAGTAGGACTTTTTAGGAATACGTTTTTACTTAGAGGAAATTAAATTGATAACATCTATGGATCTCAATAGAAAAGTATAATTCGATGAATATTCTTTTATTTGATAGTTCGATCAAATTTCCTTCCTTTTTCTCTTTATTTTCTTCGAAAGTTCAAAGTTTTTCCTTAATCATTAAATTTGTCCAATTTGCCAATAAATATCCTTTTCTTCTTAACATTACCTTTCGTAAGACGATTAATTTCTATCTCGTTTGCCATTTGGCATTCTCGTCGCGTTGAGAGCTATGCCCCAAAGGCATAGATAGAAGGCAAGAGGAATTGGAACGTACCGTGAAAGTCCTTGAGCGAAGCGACTATACTAATCAGGCCATACAAAAGCAGCCGCAATGATCTCGATCCAAAATGATCCTTGATTCCAATGAAGTAGTCCAATCATCCAATAAAAGTGCGAATTAAGGCCTCTTCTCTCTTCAGAGAGCTCTTCGCTTTCGACGGCGTATCATCTTCAATGCTTTCTCTCTCTCTCTCTCTCTCTCTCTCTCTCCCTCTAATGCCGCGGAGTTTGACGAAATATTTTGGGAAAAATATTCGTGTAATTTTGAAAATGTCCGCGATTCTTATTATCCTTTTATTATTTAATCAGCGCTGGCATTCGCCATCATATTCGCGTTCAGCGAACGAACGACTATGGCCTTTCCGACCGATACGAAGACAGGCGGTCAAAAAGAGATAAAGGAGCCAAAGGACATAAAGGAATCTGCCGCAGCATCCAAGGACGTGAAGGATGCTATTAAGGCTGCCAAGGAAGCGAAAAAGAACAAGAAAGATTGCGCGAGAGAATGCGGTACCGTTTATGATCCTATTTGCGCTCATGATCCTTCCGATGCCAATATTAAGCCAAGGACTTTTGGTACCCAATGTGCCATGGAAGTTCACAACTGTGAAATGGGATCGAGTAAGTATATCACCAATTTAATCCATCATTTTATTTCATCATCATCATCATCTTCTTCTTCCTCTTCTTCTTCTTCTTCTTCTTCTTCTTTTACCTCCTCCGTTTCTCTTTAAATTAAATTCCATTTCTTACGAGAAAATATAATTTCTGATCGTCGATCGACAGGATTGGCCATGAAGAGCAAAGGCGAGTGTCCTGGGTCTGGCGGAGTGAGATTGTCATAAAATGAAGATGATTGAAAATTTCCTGTATTTCGATATGTGCCAGCGCTATATATAAATTTATTATTAATTTTTAACTCCCCTTTCGAGCTTATGCTTCCTTAGAAGCTTTCTATCGTCATCCATGCCCGTCCTTATTGTTGACGTTATTGTTATTTAACAATTTATATTACATAATATGTATATCTCTCTGTAAAATGAATAATATATAATTATAATATCGAAACAATGGTGACGAAATGGTGACCATTTAGAAATGAATATTTTATTAGATACGTTTGAACGTAGCTGGCGTTAGTTGTTAGCGTAGCTATAAGCGAGTATCATCAAACGAGTCATTTTAGAATTAGACGATTATTTTTACGAGCACGGACGATCATGCCCGTGCTCATTCAACCCTATTGTCTGTCAATCTTCGGCGTAATGAGTGTTTACCTCTCTTATTAATAAACACCCTAATGAGGATGTGACCGACACGATGATGGATGATGAACAAGCACGATTTTTAAAAGTAGATTATATTTGTCCTCGCGACGATGCCGCGCGAATCGTCTCTCGTAAGAATGCTCGTTACATTTTTAAGGATCCTTCATCCGTTTACATTATTATTATACTGTGAGACAAGCGTCTGTCCGCAGAATTGGAATTCCGCTTGTATGGATCTTTCTCGATCGTCAAAGAGCTCGGATATTCTTCTCGAAGACATTGAAAGTCGATTGTCTAGCCTCGAGAGAAGGCTCAGGGCTGTCGAGCAACCAGGTGAGTTATATGGAATTGACAATCCAAATCTTTTTCGAACGGATTATTTAACCTTAGAGCTGAATTTTTTTATTTTTCCTTATTTCTCTTTTGTACCGCAATATATCTCGTGTTTGGATAATTTAGTTTGGCAAATCGGCACGTCGTACGAGGATTGGGAAATTTGTGCCGAAGGACCGTGTAAGTGCGTGCCCGAAACAAAATCCCTTTCCTGTTGGAGATATGGCTTACTCGATGTTCCACCATCCCAAATGGTTCCTAATGATATATTAAAATTGTAAGAAAGTCCTAATAAGGATATCCTCCTAATTGGATAATGTCTTAATCGTAAGATGTCAATGTAACGTCCCTATAACGTTTTAGAGACTTGGGAAGTAATCAAATGACGGCGTTACACAGAGATACCTTTCTGGATATGACGCAACTAAACCAATTGTGAGTATGTCTTCTTCGTGTAAACCAGAGTTTTCTTTCGTGTAAACTGGATTAAACGAGTTTTAAGCTTTACAGAGACTTGAGCGGTAATTACATCGAGCATCTGCCGTTGAATCTATTTTTTTCCTTGCACAGCGCCGTACATCTTAGGATTAGCAAGAACTTTTTGAGAGAGTTGCACCAAAATCAATTTGTTAAGGTGCGGAATCTGCGTATTCTGTGAGTTCGTTACGTTTACCGACGATATTTTCAAATGCATTTTCCAAAATTATCAGAATCATAACGAGAGAAACAAAATTTACGTCCATTCAAACGTTAACATATTTTTCTTTTACCAGTGACGCATCCTCGAACAGACTGCAAACATTACCAGAGAGTTTGTTCATAGCTAATAACGTCCTAATATTGCTTGACTTTTCCAACAATCTTATATCCCATTTACCGAGTGGCACTTTTCACGGTTTGAAAACCTTGGAGGAGCTTCTACTTTCGCACAATCGTCTTTCTACCCTTCAAAGTGGCATCTTTCGTGACCTAGTTAATACAAAGTGCCTGAAACTCGACGACAATCGATTGTCTAAATTACCAGCTGACATATTTCATCAACAGATCTCTTTGGAGGAATTGAATTTGAGGGGGAATCTATTAACCGAAATACCAGATAATCTCTTTTCCTCATTGGAACGATTGTTAACGCTCGAGCTATCCAGCAACAGATTGACTCATGTAAATACTACAAAGTTTTTTATCATTTCTTTCTTATACTTTCTTCTAAGCTGCGGATGACTAACTTATGACATTACTTGCAAGAGCAGCTTATGCGTATACTTGCACGCAAATTTTCACGCTACTCATTTGAATTTCTTGTCGGTCATAATACGCTTCGTCATCATATATATATATCAGGTCGGTTCTTAATATCTAAATACTTCTTTCTTTTCCCGGAACTTTTTCTCCTTAGTCATTCTTAGCGCACGAACTCTCGCAAAATATAATACTTTGAAACTCGTTTGAAGTAGGATCGATCGCTGTTCGAAAGAGAAAAAGAAAGTAAGAGCTTACATTACACGTTGTTTCGGTATCTGAAAGCTATTACGACAGGTCAGTTCAAATTGTCAGGTCATTGTCCTCGGACTTGTTTACAAAGGCCACGAGTTGCTTAGTCTATCCGTACTTTTAGAATACCTTTTTCTATGATTAAAGAACATTCTTAACGTTAATAGATTCGTCCGTTGGCATTCGATGGATTAGCGGCACTGAAAGAACTGCTATTGGGACAAAATTATATAAAAACATTGACACCAGGATTATTCGATAGTGCTAACTCCTTGGAAAGGCTAGTACTATATGCCAACAGTATAGAGATCCTATCAAAAAGCACGTTTCGTGGGTTAAACAATTTAACTTCGCTTTATCTACATTCCAATCGTTTGAGAATCTTGCATCCAGATTTGTTCAAGGACACTCCGAACCTACAAAAATTGTCAGTAATGTTATTTCACTTTTCATCGTAATGTTTAAAAGAAAATTGGGAAAGTACAGATTGATTATAAATTGAAGACCGATTGAATCGGAGCAAACAGCTCCATGAGAAACCCTAGAAAAGAAAATCATTGAACTTTTGATTTAAACGAAAGTCAGGTGTTTCCAATCTAAATGTCATTTTATTTTTTTCTTATATATTTATCTTTTATTACTCTTAACAAACGATATACTCGATTGGCCCTTAATTTATAATCGCAATCGACATATATCAACATAAGTCAACATTTTCAGATTACTCGAGGCCAATTATCTATCCTATTTACCAGCAAAGATCTTAGATGGTTTATTGACAATACGACAGCTTCGATTGGAACGAAATCCTTGGCATTGCGATTGTTCAGCCGCTTATCTGGCAACCTGGTTACAAAGGAGATACTTAACGATCACAAATAGTTCCAGCATGGGCGAGATTAATATCGGTGATAATTCGAAATCTTGGGAATTTGGAGCTGGAGTTATATGTAGAGGTCCTGGTGCTATGGGAGGAAAATTGTTATTACGATTAACGTTTCATGAACTTTGCGAGGGTCAATGGGCCTCCATGAAGGGTCTGGTTCCAAGAGTGCCTAAAGATTTATTAGGAATTTCTTTATCGAATGCACTTGGCAAAGTTGCAGAAGTATAAAGATTCCAATAGTTGAAATCCAAATTGTTACTCGACATCTTTTCTTCCCCCGCCTCCTCCGAAATATATCAATAATAGTTTCTAAATAAATTAAAAATTATATGGAAATTTCAAGAGTCGTCTATGAGAACATTATTTTTCTTTTTTATCATTTTGTTTATTAAATGCAAAAAATTCCAAAGATCGTATTCTTAAAAATTTTACATTACAGGAACCGATCTTATCTATTAAAGTAGTTAATAGTTACAGTTTGTCACGTTAGATGGCACGAAGGGTGCACTATCGTTTCGGCGGATAACTTTAAATGTTTCTTTTCGCCGATAGATGGCAATAGTATATACGAATTATGGATGACTTAGAAAGATGTGTCAAAGTAGGTTATGTGCCAAAGTATATAAATCTTGTCTTAATTTAATACTATTTGCATTTCACTAATAATAGATATAAATATATTAATTGCTTCCGAAGGACATGCAATAAAGGTAGTTATATATTAACTTAAGGAATATAACGATAACTCCTAGCATCGTTAAAACTAATTTTATGATATATCATTAGAGTAATCTCATTGTGTAAAGATGCATTCAATTAATTTAATATAAAATTCAATAATGAAGATTTCAAATAACAAGGAAGACGGTATGCAAGGGAACAAGGAAACTGTGAATCTTCTCGATCTTTTATCAGAAACAGAATCAGACATACCAGATTTAGTTCTAACGCCAAGGAAAAAGAAAGTTAAACGGTGAGAATAAATATCAATAGTAATATTCGATATGATACAAGTATTATTAATAAAAATTTTTATAGATCATTTGTTATTATGATATCATATTTATGTTATAGGAGATATAGGCAAGGAAGTACCGTTAAAATTAAAGACAGCGACATATGTGGTTGCAATAGGTCCGATATGAGAATCATATCGTTATGGGTAGTAGCCTTATTGATAACATTTTGGTTGATAGCTTTATCCTGGCTGGCTGCAATTTTATATGGGGAAATCGAAAGGATGGACACATCTATAAAATTGGGTAAGTAACATTAAAATATATCTGTAACATTTTAATACATTAATACTTTTTATCCATAAATATACATATATATCTACATCTATGCGTAGCATGTTTAATATGTAAATATAAATTATTAGTAGTCGAATAAAATATTCTGGAACTAATTGTAACGAATTAATTGATGAATGCTTGTTTATGAATCATGTGAAAAAATAATTGATGAACGTTTAAATATATTTCTATTATCGTTTTTATAATACGTGTGTGTACTTTGACATTAATATTAATTTTATATAATGTTAGCGTTATTGCTATTACTTATTCTATATTAAGAGTTTCGGTATGACAGTAGTACGAATACGGTTTTTATCGTACGAAGCAGCAACCCCTAGCGGTAGGAATAGAATTGTTCTTCGCGTAAAGGAGCAACCCCTTCTTTCGTCAGTCGATATCAGAGAGACGACGTGTGGCGGGCGGGCGAGTCTCGTGCGTGCGTGTGTGTGTGTGTGTGTGTGTGTGTGTGTTTGTGTGTATGTATGATGTGTGTGTCAATAGTGTGGCCTCCACGGAAATCGTTCGTCCATTTGGCACAACGACGTTTATTTTCTCCTTTTAAGTTCTAACGCGGCCTAAATTTCTTTTTCAAATCGAATATATGCGTGTTTATTCATACGTTTGTGCTTGGATATTAAGTTGCAACTGTCATGAAAAAAAGAAAGATGATATCTTTTATCGTGTGAAATATTCGCAAAACGTGTAATAGTTTACGATCGATTATTACGAGAGCGAGAGAGAGAGAAAGGAATAGATATGTATTACATATAATAGTTCGTTCAACACGACATTTAATTCATTTCATTCATTTTATAAACGATCCATTTGAATTTTTTGAAGGCTCGATTAAGTATCATAGATTATTACGACGACCAATCGATTTCATCGTGTCAATTACGAATGATTTCACAACGTCAAGAGAGGGTGGGCGGTAGTGAGAGAAATAAGAATAGCATTAAAAAAAAGGAAAATTATATAGAAATATTATAATATATTTTACGTGTTTTACGGACTACTATATCCGTATTGTGTCTTCAACTTTTGTACAGGGTATAAAAGTTCGAATCGATGAGAATAAGACTTTTATAATTCATTTCCAACGCGGTCGACACGACTCGAAAGATAAAACGAAACAGTTACCTTTTATGTCACGACAATATCACCGTCGGATTCAAACGATGTTAAGGCCAAATTGGTTTTTTTAATCGAAGAAAAACGTGTGCCGAAAGTGTTTCGCGATAGATAACATCGCCAGTTAATATTACATTGGTTATCGTACGCTCTGATGACAACTTCCACGATAAAAAAGAAAAAAACGCTTAACACGATAAGTATTCTTCGGTCGTGAAAGCGAAAAACCAGTCTTATGTCAAATTCGTAAGTTGTAACAATTGCCGACGTATCGTATTTAAAACAGTGAAACGAAACGAAACGATTATATGAAATAAAAAAATGATCGGTCATTGAATAATTAAGAAAAAAACAAATCGTGAAGTTTTTCGTTAACGTTTCATGGGAATATTTTGTTAAGCCTTCGAATGAACGTACTCTACAAGTGCCTTGCTCGAATGAAATAGATTATTGACCACATACAATTGATATGTAATTTACAAGGAAAAAAAGAAAACGCGTTAAGGTGGGATTTTGAGATAACGTTATTATCTGAACGAGATAACGATGTACATATGTCCAAGAAGAAATATCTATATATATATATACACACACGTATGTATGTATATCGATGTGGATTGTCGTCCCTTATGATCCGACGATAGTTTCTATTTACAAGTATCAAATTAAAATCAAACATTGAAATAGCAATTTACATATGTCTCCTGAGGACGAGAAAACAAAGAAAAAGAATAATAATATTATTTCGCTTACTATATCGTCACCTTTTCATTCTCTTACGGTCTTTGATTACTTGATATTCGTTATCATTCGTCACAGACGGAAAACAGTCTGGCCTGGTTTCGCGATAGAGACGAAAGCAAGCAGTAAATTGTTTCGACGAAAACTTCGAGCAAGTTCACTTGTCCACGCATGCACCCACGCAGGCATACACATACAATAGATTGTTGTACATAGTCACGTGTATTTGATTTTAAAACGGCAAGGAAGACAGACATACGTGTCGGCGAAGACACGTCTTGATTTTCCTATGTATGTGTATGTGTTGTAACAAGTTATACACATGTGTATGTATATACATATATATATATATATATATATATATATACAGAATGAGTCAGCATTTATTAGCGTCTGAAATAAATTTTTATTGGGGATAAAAAAAAAGTGAAGAAGAAGCAAAGAAAAAAATAAATAAAAGAAACGTGACCTATAATTTCTTTGGTTGGCCAATAAAAAAGTCAATAATCGTGTCTATATAATTTTTCGTTGAAACATTTTTTAACTACTGAACAAAAGAATTGTTTCAAGTTTGACAGTAATTATTGACTCACCCTGTATGCACAAGACAAACACAATGGAACACGTGTATAACAGAGCGGAGCATCTATAGCGTGTCCATAAGATGTGCGCGTTTTCCTACAAGGCGCGCTTACCTGCTGTTATTGTTGGCCACCAATTTGATGATAAGAGCTTCTCCTCAGTAGTGTCGCGACAATGTTCGGTCGTAAATGCATCGTCTTTTAATCGCTCCGTATCGCTCGTAATCGTTGATTATAATAGCCTCTTGGTAAATTTCACCGTGACCATCGTTTTAAGTGTTGTTATTTCGTTTTAGAAGACCGATAACGAATGCGTCGACGACAAAAAAGTTTTTAATTTTGCCGACTACGAAAAAATACAATATAATATATTTTTATTCCTTCTTTTTCGTCTTCCCCGTTATTGTTCTTCGCAATGAACATACTCTACTTATTAAACAATTGATAAACAAGCCGTATTACATTAATATCGTACTTTATATTGAATACGTGAGCCATTATATTAATATCTCCTTTCTCGTCTCTACGTTAATATTCTTTATATATATATATATGTATATATATATATATATATATATATATATATATATATATACATATGTAGAGGTGCAAAAATTAATATTAAAAAGTATAATTCATGTTAATTTCTATCAACGACATTAATAAAGGTAAAGCGAGTATAAATGAAGCTAACAAAAGAGATTTAAATTTCGATGAATTGGTAATTTCACGTCTTATTCGTTATAATTTCTCTGTACCTTTTTAATACGGTGTGCATTGTTACGTGCCAAAAACAAAAAAGAAAACGCGCCAATAATAAATTATGGACGTCATTTCTGTACGGAAACTGATAAAGGAAATTGATATGCATACGTATGTTAAATTAAGTAAAATAATAGGTAAGATCTTTGGATGAACGAACATGACCTTCCATGGATTATTCTCAAACTATCGTCATGAAACTTCATATCATCGAACGTGAAGGAAGAAGTATCGGACATTTTTTAGCCGCAATGACACCATGAATAGCATTGTTTAGCAATTAAAGACTATAAAAAAAAGTCAATGATTATAATATAACTCTGTATTATAAACTTGACAACTACCTCGAGATATACATCGGCATAAGAATAATAAGTATATGTAAATCAAGGAGACGAAGGAGGAGTGTTTACTTGAGATGGACTCGGTAGCGGTTACGGTTCCGCTTCGTCAACCAACGAAGAAAATGAAGAAACGTAAGGAATTGGATGCTCTTGCACCTCCACATGCCGTTTCCAGAAGAACTTCCGGCAAACGTAGTTCTCAGGTATGATGTATTTATCTTTAAACAGAAATACATTACGTTAGAATTACTTTGATATTGCCTTTTTTTAAAAATGATTATTTATTTTGCAGGAATTATTGACGGATAGCAGTGACGAACGTTCAGAATATTGGAACACGTCTACAAGAAGCAGCCGCAAATGCAGAGGAAGAAGGAGCCAAGCTTGTCCGGGATTTCTTAAGGCTTGTAGTGCCTTTTTGGCATGCGCTTCTGTCTTAGCTACTGCTAGCTTAATATGGCTTTTCATTGACGTTCGTCAACAACTCACCGCCTTAAGAACGGAATTGGATCAAGGTATTGCTAGGAACGAATCCCATTGCGGTCGTTGTAAATCTACGATAATAAAAATATCGGCCTTTCTTTTTCATCCTCTTTTCTTACATATAAAAGGATCTATGTATATATAGGATCGTTGTAAATTAGTTCCAGAATGATATCGCAAAATGTGCTTTTGTAAGAATTTCACAGATATTATCTCACCTTATAATAATCATCGATCATTTGTGTTAAATAACGACATGGTTAAAGAATCTTGATATCAAACAGAGTCTTCTCCATTACTACAATGGCGCTCGTTTTAATCTTTCACGAGATCCTTCTATCTTTATCGCATTGCAGTAATTGCCGGAAACGAGGGTGTTCCTGATGCTTTGCAAAAATGTCATTCCATGTCGAGGGATCTGCAAAATAATCAAACCGTCATTTTCTCTCATTTATCGGATCTTAGATTTCAAATAAGCAATGTCACGATTCAGGTAAATACGTCATATCGTCTTAAAATACTTGTTATATGCTTCATTATTTTCTAGTATTTGATACTTCTAATAAGAACTCATTGTAGTTAGTAAACATACAACATGGATTGCATCAAGTTCAAGAATGGGTGCACGCTGCGCCAGAGCTTGCTAATGTTCCTAAAGATTTGAAAGCACTTTCGACGACCGTTGTTTCATTGGGCAGTCAAATAAGAGATTTGGATTCAACTGTAACAACATTAAAAGAAACTAATACGCGCCTACAAAACGTTCAAACTACTGCATTACAAAATATCAGCAGCGTACAGGTAAATTTTATTATATGGAATAAATGTGCATAGCTTTGAAAAAATTTAATTCCTTTCTCATGGATCATTATTACAGCACGCTCTTTCTGAATTAATCAATATAACGCAAAAACCTCAAATCTTAACTACCAACGAAACCAAACTGAAAACCGAAGAATTAAATGCCGCGATATTGCGTGTAACAAATAACTTGACGCACGTCAATGAAACTCTATCAAGAACTCTTCAATGGACTAGCGAAGATCAGAAAAAAGATCATGTAAATTTACAGTGAACTACATTTATTAGATTAACCAATAATATTCGTTCGTTATTGTATTCGTTGGTAATAATTTGGTCGCATTGTTTCAGAAAATATTGAATTCCCTCTTGGATACGACCCAAAATGTTAGTACAAAGGTTATATCATTGGAAGGAGAATATGCAAAAATGTCTGAACAAATAACTACATTGCCATCATTAACAGAACAAGTATATAATATTTTCTTGTTTTTAAGATGAACAATTAATGTCATTTAAAGGTCTACTTTGATGTTTTTTTTTTTTTTTTTTTTCCTTAGGTCGAACGAATATATGCAGCTAACGTTGAATTGAACGATAGACTAAAACGTTTGGAACAATCTTATATTTCTGTAAAAAATTCGACTACTGCTATGTTAAATACGATAACGAAAATGAAAAATGACAAGAGAATTGTTGACGATCAAGATGATACAACAGAAATGCCCATCGAAGGTATGTAACCGATGAGAACATTTTTTTCAAAGAGATTTTATGATAAGTTTTAAATTCTTTTTTGTTTTTTTTTTTTTCTTTTTTTTTTTTTCTTTTTTTTTCTTTTTTTTTCCTTTTCTTTTTTTTCTTCCAGGAAGTCAAAATGTTCAGAGGATAGGCACAAACACTTAAATATAAGATAGATATAGGTAGAGTATAAATAATATTTCCAATATTGTGATTTTCAAAAATAGCTCCTGCACGTATGATAAAGCAGTCTGTAGGCAACGTAAAAAGAGATGTGTAATTGTAAATATTAATAAAATAGGAAACTATCCATTTAGCAGGAATTACATATTTAAACTCTGGGTTATGTATGCACGTCAAAGAAAAGGATGTTATGTCGAAGTATGTAATGAGCATTACATATTATTAAATGAACGTTCTGCAAGTATTTCGTGACCTGGAGGAAAGAATCTATACCAAGCAATAATTTGTACAATTACACAATATTGATATTCTGATACATACATTGAAAGTACATACGTTTGGAAATACTTACAAAGTACAAAATCTACAAGTTCTCATCTTTGTCTACACTTTAGTCGAATGAATTTCTATTGGTATAACATTTGTTAGACATCACAAAGGTAGCCTCATATATGTCCATTAGATATACATGATTTTTTCAATTTGCAAATTTAAAAATTCTTTCTTTAAATAATTACTTCAAAATTACAATTATTGCCACCTAATGATTTTCTCGATTTATCAACTCGATTCATCATAACGGAACGTTTGTTCTGCACGATAATATACTTAGAGTAGTATTGTTTATAAGTCTACAAAGAGGCACAGATGAGTGCTATTTTTTACGACAATCTATACAAAACGTGGTCAGATAAAATTAATCAAAACTACGCACATTACACAACATTCGCAGTATTATACCTAATTCGTCCAAAGCATAAGTCTTGCATATTGTACGTCATAACTTTACTGCAGTACATCGATTTCATCATCTTATCACACATTTCTATTAAGTAGTCTTTATCGATACGTATAATAATTAACTATTACCTAAAGACTGTTATTTTCTCGTTAAAATTTTGATCGAACTAATAGTCAAAGGAAATACCATGATCAAAACACATAATATAATTCCAAGTGCTTTTGATGCTGGATTAACCCCAAGAAAAATAAAAAAAATAAAAAGATTCGATTGGCCGTTACGGTATGAATCAATTAAATTTCACTATTTGTACATTTGTAAATTATTAAATAACCATTTAATTAATACGCAGTAATATACGAGATAAATCTATAGTGTGTGACCTTGATATAAAATGAATGTGCATAACGAAATGGCGCATTGCTAGGATATACCTATGTTGAAAAAGGGTTAATAAAAACTTGAACGTTAAAGTAACGCAATATTTTCACTCTCATATTCATTTCCAATTCAATCTCATAATTTGTTTGATTTCTTCTTTAAACTTGGCATTAAGTTTCACACACTTATTAATAATTTGCATATTATTTTATAATGACAATTTCACGATCGTATCGAAAAATGGCGCGCAAAAGGTAGAAGGGGGATATGATGATGACGAATGGCAAAGAGAGAGAGAGAAAGAGAGAGAGAGTGAAGAGTAGCGGGTGGGGATACGCGCGAGAGCTTGAAACATTAGGATAGGTCCGGTTACGTCTGACGTCTATTTTCTGATTGGCCACGGACTCCAATAGCGACATTTATTAAAATGGCGCGTGTTCAATTTTTAATGTGTGGAATTTTTTCTTTATCTTTTTAACCTCATCGAAATAGAAAACAGATTTCAATTTGTCATTATTTTGGTATAAAGAAAAACTTTAATATAATAATATAAAAATATACGATCTAATTAGAATACTTTGATATTTATATAACGAAGCCAAAAATTAGATCATACTTTCTTTCCTTTGTCATTGGTCGCTGCTCCGTTCGATCGACCAATCGGTGACGTGTGCGCGATTCTAGCGACTCTAGCGGAGTATTGGGACAAGTCCGTCACAGTCTGCTGACAGAGCTCGTACCACGCTCGTCAAGAGGAAAAATCAAAACAATGAACATGGCGGAGCCGAGCAACGAGGCTGCCTCCTCGAGCAGCGTTTCAGAGCAGGCCGCGTCGGTTGCACCGATGCGAGACGAGCTTGAAAAGGTCGAGGATTTCCTCGAGCCCGACAAGAAGCGTCGTAAGCAGGTGCGCGGCGATGGGAAAACCGAGCAGAAGTTGGAGCACCGATTGGGCGGCATCCTCTGCTGCGCAGTTTGTCTTGATCTGCCCAGGGCGGCCGTCTATCAGGTAAGTTTACGGTGCTCCTATCTTAAAAAATGAAGAAAGAAAAGCTTTTTATATTGATTACGATCGATCATATGCAATTTGAGTTCGTGCGAGATTTCCCGATCGTGCAACGGTTCTTCCACCCACGTTTTTAATAACATGGAATGTCTGGCCATTGTCCTTGCGCGCGACATTTCTTCCTTTTGCATATATATATATATATATATTTTGTGTGTGTGTGTGTGTGTATGTGGGCTGTGTGTGCTCTGTGTGTGTGTGTATATATGCTGCACACGTACGTATATAAACGAATGTGCGTCATTACGTACGTGTGTGTGGATATGCTCTGTGGTGTATATATATATATATATATATATATATATATATATTATGTGTATTACTACGTAGTTATTTCCTTCGATTTTCAGCTCTCACTGCCATTAGATAATTTTCAATTTTTCAAGTTAAACTCTTCAAACGAACGTTTTCCTTTCTTCGATATTGACTTATTGCGGTCATTCACCTACAATAGCCGCTTTCGACGAGTTTGCTAATTCGATTATAATTAGAGTCAGCGGGTAATTAGTGATATTATGGTGATTTGGTCCTGTGGTAGTCGCTGACTTTTCTATCATGACTAAAAATATATATATATATTCTTTTTTATATCCTTTTTAAGCGAAAGTTAACCGCGACATTTTATCATATTATCATCGATAATAAAATATTTTATCATTGACATAGCCTCGTGTATTATATATATATATATCTTTTTTTTTCGTATTTTTTTTTTATAAGAATCCAAAAGAAATGCTCTTTCCTATTTCTTTTTTTTACGTTCGTATTGTCTACGTATAATTAAATTAAATTACGTGAAAAGGAAGAAAACAAGAAAATCAATCATTAAATTTTTTTGCGTTTTTTTTTTTTTAATTTTTCTATTTTTTAATTATTTTTTTTTATATCAACACTATCATAACTATCATAATATAAAAATAAATAACTTTTGAGGTTAGATTACTTGCGCTCTCTGGATATATAAAAATAGGTATTTGCAATTATTATTAAATATTTGATATTTTGTTTTAATTTATTTAATTAGAAATGTATATTAGATAATATAGTATCTACGCATAACATTGCATATTATTGGTATATTGTTTTCTTTTCTTTCTTTCTTTCATTCTTTTTTTTTTTTTTTTTTTTTTTTTTTCCTTTACTAATCACTGGAAATATACATTATAAACTAAAGGTAAGAAGAAAAAGTTTCGCAGGTAGGTAAACTTGTAATGCATTTCAGAAAAAAAGAAAACCAATAGATAATATGTAATTTATAGAGTGAAAAAAAGAAAAATGTCGATTACCATGCTATTAATTTTGACAAAAATATAATTATAGAATTAATTTTCTAAAACTCTGTTCCAACTAATGGTATTTTAAAAAAGCATGGTTAAAAGACGATTGTATTTAACTATATAAATTTTAATATACATAAGGGTCACGAGGAAAATAAGAAGAAAGTGTTTCAGTTCTTACTTAAATTTTTCTTTCTAGTCTCAGATAATTATTGTAGGTTATACAGTAGAAAATGTATTGTTTTTAAACGTGATCAAATATATGTATATATGTATGTAGATATTACATACACATTAATTTACTTCAATTATAAATCAATATTTATCACATTCGTATGTAATATATATTGATTTATAATTGAAGATAAATCATATATAATGTTTTAAGAAGTACTTAAAAAATATTTTTTAATGGAGTCTTATATCACTTCCTATTTAATAATTAATATGTATATATATATCCATGCATGTACATATAGTACTTAACTTTGAACTGAATCCTGACAACGAAATGTTGCCAGTCACAACCGTTATTGATCCAAATTTCTTTTCCTTAAATTCTTTCTGTTCTTTTGTGAGAACACTTTTATTCAAAAGGATATGTATTTTGTATTTGAAAATATATTACCCGATGTTATTAACATACATATAATTCGGCTAATTGCCTGCCTTTGTTAGCAATACTAAAAGATATAACGAGCACATGAATAGTATTTATTGTACCATTTTGTAGACTAATGCAGCATAGTTTTAATTAACAAAGGTGACATAAAATTAAACTTTTGTACATCCTTGTTTATAAATTTTTATATAGTTGCCTATACATCAGTTTTCTTTAGATAGAATCATATTAGAAATCAAATAGTTATTTTGTGCCTTCTTTAATCTCTTGAAAGAGCAATGATTAGGTAAGAGAATTGTAAGAGCCTATTAAATTGTTAGATCCATATAATCTTTTAGTACGTAATACTATATCTGTTTTATATCGTCCAATATGTTTATTGTAAAAGGTTATGAAGGGCAAAGTCCAATAATATTTATCCGATAGTTGTTATAAATAAATGTGGGAATTGCAATGCCAACCAGTTATGAAAACGGCGAGAGCGTGAGAGTGCGAGAGAGAAAGCGAATTCTTGGAAAATCTGTACATCATGTATAGTTGAAGAGTATAAAAAGAATAAATGTTTTAAAGGTTATTAGTTAGTTATTTCACATAAAATATCCCTTTTCTCTGTTCCCATGCATCATTATCCTTTTTTCTTCCCATCTGTTGTCATTGTTGGCAGCATTAGAAATAGTAACATTGGCGGTATATCTATGTCACAATGTGTATAAGAAAATTTATGAATGAATACGTAAATTATTAATAGTATCCATATGATTTTGTGTTTCAGGTTGTAAAACATCAAAATCATGGTAATATACATGACTGTAGTCTTATTTTATTTTGACACTCATTATTATTATTATTATTATTATTATTATTATTATTATTATTATTATTAATAATAAATTTGTACTGTGTTTCTATTGATGATTGAGAAGTATAGTATCAGCAGAATAAACAAAAAGTATGTAATGGGCTAATATGAGTATTAGCCCAAAAGTATATGTAAAATGAAAAATGACAAATCTATCAAAAAGCCTTGGGTAAATTTATAACTGCTAATACATACTTCACAGATACATGATAATTCCTTTGCATTTGATTGAGAAAATTTATAAATGTATCTAAAAAGAAAGGAAAAAAAAGGAAAAAAAAGGAAAAAAAAAAAAAAAAAAAAAAAGAAAAAAGAAAGAAAAAAAAAGAAAGAGAAAAAAAGATCACATACAAAGTACATTAAGATGTATGTATTAATGCTTGTTACAATGATGTTCACAGTGTACTAATGGACACTTGATGTGTGCTGGTTGCTTCACTCATGTCCTCGCAGATGCCAGGCTACGAGATGAATTGGCTACCTGTCCTAACTGCAGAATTGAAATCAGCAAAACGTCTGCATCTCGAAATTTGGCAGTTGAAAAAGCGGTGTCCGAATTGCCGGCAGAATGTCAATACTGCGCCAAGGAGTTCCCACGGAATTCCTTGGAACGTCACGAAGAAACGATGTGCGAGGAGAGGTAAATAAATAAAAGAAAATTAAATAATACTCAAACAATTTACATTCATCGTTATTTCATTAGAGATAATAATATCATTGATCTTTCATGTAGGATATCTAGTTGCAAATACAGTAGGATCGGTTGCCCATGGCGAGGTCCAAATCATGAAGGACCAGAGCACGAAGCACATTGCGTTCATCCTCATCGTACTGGGGCAGATGTTATGGAAGCTTTACGCGACATTGATGCTCGTACTTTAGAAGAACGTAGGCTCTATGACAATGTCTTTGATCTTTTGTCCTACGAAAAAATCACTTTCAATGGTCTGTATATGTCATTCATGTTGATGCTTACACTCACTTTCTGGCCCCCCCCCCACCCCGCCCCGCATTTTATTATTTATTTTAAAGAAATATGTATAGTTTCATATTTTTCATCTAGCAATATTTACTATGTTTTAATAATTTGATATTTTTTTTTTTTTTTAGATCTCCCCACTGTGAATAATCAAGTACTACCCTATTGTTCATTTTTCTTACTCTCATTGCTTGTATTACAGGGTATCGAAAAAGTTGTAGACATTTAAAGAATTCAATTAATTTTAGATTTACAAATGAAGCCGTACCGTACCGATGAATTTGTTCATAAATTGTTTTACGAAACATCTCGTTTCACGGCATTCAATAATCAATGGGTTGTGAAAGCAAGGATCAACAATAGCCAACGCGATCCTACTCAAAGTTCTGAACGCGATATAACTTATCAGGTATCTATCAATTACCGACAATCTTTAAAATCGAAGAATTTCGCAATGAGACGAAACAATTGTTGTAAATAATATTAATTTGTTTCATAGTTGATTCTGAAAACGAAAACGACATATCCATTACCCCTGCACTATTTGATATTGAAAGGACCCTTTGGTGATATGAAAGTACAGCCAAGAATTCATAGATTTGAATTCACGGAACAAGACAACGAAAGTCCATATTTGCCTATACCATTACCAGATACGGCAGAGTGTAATAGACTTCTTGCTGCAAAAGCAATTAGTTTCAGGTGAGCTCCTTTGTAAAACTGATCACGATGTCCAATTGATTCATTAAAACATATCTACAGGTGTGTGTCTCTCTATGAAATACTTTTAAGAGAGAGTTTTTATTATTTTAGGTTAATAATGTTCCTGGCATCTAAATAAGAATATATTTGTTATCGTAATCTTACGACGTAACAGAATGCGATAACTCAATTTCTTAAGTAATAATTATAATGAAAATGTAGATCACAAAGAGTTAGAATCATTTATAGTAACAATGATGATAAAGCTTATAATATGATTATAAAGAAAGATGCTAATAACATTATAGCAGGCAAAAGTATATAATTGAGAAAAGTAAGTTATTAATTAAAGTATAATGTAAGGGAAAATGCATAGAGCAGGCATTTGAAGATACAAACGATATCTAAGAGAATAATTTTCTTAGGTGATTTTCTCCCTGCTGTCTTTAATCGTGTGTGTTTGTAAATTCTAAAAGTAAAAGAAAGCTATCGTTGCAAAATCATGTAGAATCTTGTTAATCTATTGAATTATATTCGTGACTTTAAAAACGCATTTCTAAAGTTAGTTTACTACTTAGAATTACAGTGAATGTCGCAATGAGTTTGTTATCACCTTAACTCACGATTGGTAAACAAAACTTAATATATAGATTCACCTATTTATATACTAAGTGTTGTTAATGTAAAATCTTATATTATTGTAATAATATACATTTAAATAAATTTATTATAATGATGAAGAAATTGTAAACTATGTGCATGTAATGTACCTGTCGTAACAGGAAAAAGGTTTTGTGTTGCTTTTTTAACTGGCTTTATTCGATTGTCGAATATGAAAGAGGAGGTCTTTCCAGGAGGATTATAAACAAAAATTTCGATATAAAGAAAAGAAAGTTTATTCTACGAAACAATTTGTGTAATCTAGCTGTCGATAATAAAAAGAAAAACAAAACAGAGGCTATCGAATCTCTTGGATTGTTTTGGATAAATTCTTTCGGACGATTAAGAGTATTTTTTTTTCTCTCTCTCTCTCTCTCTCTCTCTCGTTGTTTTCTCAAGCGTCGTCGAGTCAATCGTGATGAAATGTTTTGTCGAATTGTAGTAAGGCAACCTACGTAAATATAAACAAAATATTTGTTTGCAAACACGCAATCACGTTGCAAAACTTAAATCATTTCCATATAAACAATTTGTTTTTCGATGAACGCGCCAAGTGTATCCTGATTGGACGAATTTATTATCGTACGATTTTATTTACACGCCAAGTAATTGAATTGTTTGGGATACGTTATGAAAGTTTGTTTTATATAAGGAGCCGCTATTAGCCTCTAGCTAGTTTAGTAACACAGCGAAGGTGCTTCTTTTTAGATATCATTGGACCGATCAAAAGGTTCTCTCGTGCGAGTGCATTGCAACGACTCAAGTCGACTTTAAGTTCGCATCTAAACGATTTAGTTTATAAAGGTTATAACTATTGACGTGCAACGTGAATTCTACAACAATTGAAACAATATCGAAGAATTGTTAGTTCCCTGTTTTTTTTTTCCCCCCGGATTTTAAGAAGAAATTTTTAATACCCGTTCTTTTTTTCTCGTTTCTCTTTCCACTATTAATATTGTTATTGTCATTATTATCGACCACTCGATGTCGCTAAACAGGCCTATTGCACACTGCCATCGATGTATCTCTCTGACAAGGTAAAAAAAAAAAAAAAATAAAACTTTTTTCTATCGATTCGGTCTTCCGCTCGCTCATATACTATTTTTAGTTTAATCCAATTTGCTTTAACGTCACCTGTATGCGCATATATTTAGCCCAATGTTAGAATTAGAATGTTAGCGTTTCGATTGCGAATTTATTTTACAAATTATTCTTTTTAATTATTCGATTGACAATTAAATTAAATTTTAATAATTTAACGTGTCCATAAAATAGTTCGTCAATGATTAAAACTGACACCAAACTATTTCGCCTCGCTTTTTTCATTATTATTTTAAATAAGAGAAAAAAGAAACATTAATTTTGACTAATGATCGAACGATTGCGTTAATCTTGCCGTATGATTAATTCAATGAGCGTAGAAATGAAAATAAAGATCATGACTCAGTTAATATTACGAAGAGGTAGAACTATATTACGAGGTAGAATTTCATTCGTGATTTCGTTGATCAGCTGATCATGACAATATGGCGGCCGTCGTAGTAGTGGTGAAAAGTTCGGATTAAAACTATTTCTTACTTTTAAAATGCAATGACGATCTATTAAATTAGAGCGATTGAGAGAGATTTATTTTTTTCTAATCCATATTTTGAGCTAAAGTTTGAAGCAAATTATTATTAAATTTCATTATGGCGAATATCAAGGTACAAAAACGTTCGTATTAAATCTATATACGCTTATGAATGTAAATTTTATCAAGTTTATTAATTTTGATTACAATCTCTTTGTAATATAATCTAATAGGTGATTTTGATATTTATATTTATATTAAGTGTTTCGTACCTTTTTGGATCGTAGACAATTGACAGATAGCGCGACAGGTAAAGGTTCCCAAAAACAGATAACAGATTTGTGGAAAAAACTTTTCTTATCCGTAAGGAACGTAAAGAAGGAAAACATGTCAATGCAAAATCATTCAAAATTGTTTGCTCAGATAAAAGATTACTTAAACAAATTTGGTTATGAGAAAAATCTTCAAATAATTTTGTCCAAATATTGGATCGAATTGGTACAAAAGATAGCATATATCCAGGGAGATACCATTAGAAAATTATTATTCATTGGGACTCAGAAACAATCGGATAAAATAATAAAAGAAGAGAAAAATAATTTTGAAACGTCAAAAAGTGTTCTTACGGTAACAACGGAACGGGAAGAAGAAATTAACGAAAAGACCATTATTGATAATAGAAAGCTCGTACAAAAGCTGATAGAAAGTCCGACAGTTCAAAAGGTATAAATATTTTGTAATATATAAAAAATTACATACTAGATCGAAAACCCATCGGTTATATTTCTTTATTCCAGGAAGATTTTAAGCTGAGCAATACTAACGTTAAATTACATTTAAAAGAATTATCTTATTTACCGCAAATTTTGACTGCTTTAATATTGAAATTAACGAACAAGGCAAAAGAGAGCGGTTTAACATCTACGCCAAAGTGGAAGATAAACGTTAACAGTAATATTTCAAAGCATAGTATTATTTCGAGAACGCGACATGTATTGAGCAGTATTGTAAACGCCGAGTCGAGTGCCTCAAAGTGCAGAAGAATTGAAGATCTATTGGCACACATTGATCGTTATCCGGAAGCTCGACATTATGCGATCAAGGAAGGAGCTATAAGTACTTTGCTAAGAATACGTCAGACGAATAATGATGAAAAAATTAAAGGTTTTTCTTTAACATTAATTTTAGAGATGTATAAAAGATATATCCGTTATTCCATTTAATTTATTTCTTTTTCCTCTGCAGGATCAATCAGGGAATCATTAGCAATAATGGGTTATAACGATCCTCCGACTGGACGTGGAATTAGAATTCTTTCTATAGACGGAGGAGGAATTCGGGGTGTTCTCGTTATAGAAATGTTAAAGAAATTGGAAGAATTGACTGGAAAGAAAACGCATGAGATGTTCGATTATATATGCGGTGTCAGTACAGGAGCTATTATTGCCACCACGTTAGGTATTTCAATAATAATATTTTATTTTATTTCTTACATTTTGCATAGAGATTAATCTCTATTGTTCGAAATATAGCCGTACCAAAGGAATCGGATGAAGGTATACACTAGTACCTTTTTTTTTTTTTTACCAGCTCTAAAATTGATCCTTCTTTTATAATTTGCATTGCTTTTTAAATGAGGTAATATAAAGTTGTCGTTGTTGTTGTTGTTGTTGTTGTTGTTGCCGCTGCCGCTTTAGGAGGGCTTAAGAGAAAGTCATTAGATGAAGTTTCTGACTTGTACAAGGAAATGAGTACTAAAGTGTTTACACAGAGTGCCATAAAAGGTACTAGTAGCCTGGTATGGAGTCACGCTTATTATGATACAGCACTGTGGGAGAAATTATTACGGGAAACAATAGGTGATAAACCCCTCATAAAGACGAATCGTGATCCTAATTCTCCGAAGGTATGTTTTATTTAGAGCACATTGATAAACATTTGCAAATAGAATTTTTTTTTACATAACAAAGTTATTTCTAGTTCTCAGCTGTATCAGCGGTAGTTAATCATGAACGCGTAATGGCTTATGTATTCCGAAATTATACATTGCCACACAGAATTGAAAGTCAATACATGGGTTCGCATAAACATGCATTATGGGAAGCAGCAAGAGCCTCAGCAGCGGCTCCTAGCTATTTCGAAGAGTTTAAACACGGAGAATACCTTCATCAGGATGGAGGTAATCGTTCGCATTCTATCCATTGTAATGTGTCCATTAAATATAATATTATGACGTAAGTAACGATTTTTTAGGTATACTGGTAAATAATCCGTGTGCAGTAGCAATACACGAGGCAAAACAATTATGGCCGAATAGTTCAATTCAATGTGTCATTTCATTTGGCACTGGAAGAACGCCAAACAGAATCTCTGATACTGATTCTACATCGGTAGAAGTAGCCATTTCAAGTTGGAAAGAAAAATTCTATAAAATATTGGATAGTGCTACTGATACCGAAGGTAAATAATAAAAGTAATAGTTCGAAGGCGCTTATCTTCCCTGGTTCAATTGATTATTTTTCAATTATTTTTAGCTGTACACACAATGTTGAATGATCTTCTACCTGACCACGTATACTTTAGATTCAATCCATACCTTACTGAAATGTTATCTATGGTAGAAATAAGACCTGAGAAAGTAAGTCAACTGGAGCAAGATGCAAGAATGTATATACGTAGGAACGAAGAGAAATTTGAGAAGGCTGCTATGGCATTATCTCAAACAAGATCAATGCAACAGAAATTATTGGATTGGATCACTTTACAAAAAAGAATAGCTGGTCTTTAAACTATATTCATAATAGTAACAGATCGCATTCCACGAATTAGAACTTGAAGAGAGTATTTATTTTGAGTAATGCAAATGTTATTTCGAAATATGACAGATGTTCTATTTAACGATTATGATTTTGTAATTACATATTGTAAATATTTTCCTTTTTCCAAAGAATATTCTCTCCGCATTCGTACATAATGAAAATTTTTTTTCATTGCAAATAATTTTAATATTTTTTAGTTATCGTAACTATCCAACTGTGATACATATCTTTTGTGTAGAAAGATTTTTAATAGAGATTCGGAAAGTATTATTAATATAAATATTTAATATTTATGTATATACAAAAATAAATATATATATTAACAAATATTTAATATCTAAAAGAGCTTTTCAATCTCTAACGAATTAATATGAATATATTAAATTATATTTTGGATTGTATTAAAGGAAAAATATTGCGCGTTAATTTATTTATTTGACCTCTTCACAATCTTAACTCAATTGCATTCCACTCGAAGAATTAGCGTGACCAACGTACACATACACAGACGATATGTATCTGTTTGTTGTACTTGCAATTGGTAAGAAAGGACTTTTGTCGTAACCGAATGAATATAGTTCCAATCATACGATGAAGAACCAATCAGGATTGGCCGTGAGGTGTATTGATACCGAATATTCTGAAAGGGACTACTTTAGATTCAACAGTTATTGTGTACTCGTCGTATCGGATGGACCGAAACATGAGCATATTAATTTCGTAATTAGTTTCATCAAATTAGCTCAACAAATCTGTATTTCACAAATTTCCTTTATCATCAAAATGTTAAATATTAACAGAAGGACAAAGGTAGGAAAAATGGATTATATGAAAGTTTTCGTTGCAACACTTTTTTCCTATTTTTCTTTTCTTTTCCCATCTTTTCCCATCTTTTTCTTATCGTACAATTGAAAAGTTTTCCGTATTTTCTCGAGATTTTGATACACGTCTATACATATATATGTATGTATATATATATATATATATACGTGTATATGTCATAAATTTATTTATATTAAAGATTCACTCGAATGTCCTTCGGAAAGAAGTCAGATTTCGCTAATGGAATATACGAGGAGTTTCTTAAGGCATCATGCGCATGTGCACTGGTCGACATTCTCATCGACGCCGACGCCATTATTATGAAATTTGTTGCAACAGTCAAGTATATCCAACAAGCAAGTATATCCAACATTTTTAATTTGTTATCAACATGACACATAATTATTATATCATTCTTCTACGTCTTTTTTTTTTTTTCTTCCCGATAAAAACAATTCTTCTATATTCTTCTCCAATATATCTTGGACATGTCGAAATATTTTATTATCGATCATAACAAACAATCGATTATTTATGATTAACAATCGTACATACTTAATATTTGTCGTCATCTAATGGAAATTGTTATATGCTTTTGTTGTTTGTTTTATTTATAATCATTTAAAAATGAGACGGCTTATCGATGATTCTGATTTGTAATACAGTTATTGAATCATTGACGAATTATTATGTAGAATCATGCATTGAACAATTATTTCGTAGACTCGCGCGTGAATGTATATGTGTTAATGCTTCAAGGTGTTACATACGTCTGAAAAGTTTAAAAAATTTAATTTTTATGGTTTTCTCTTGTTTTTTTCTTTGGTTTTTTTTCTTTTTCATTTTCACGCAATTAATTTTATTAATGAATAATCGACCTTCGATAAAAAAATTTATTAGTTTTTTGGTATTTAAAGCAAAGAACAAAATACAAAAAAAGATTTCCGCGCAATAAAGATTAGACAATGATACGAAATTTCATTCAAATCGATTTTGAGTAAAACAGCGTTTAAAATAAAGATATATAGATATATGTATAGATATGGATAAATGAAGATACATATACTTTAAATGGCTGTAAATTTGTCAATTTTTGAAATATTATTTCAGGATGGGTTTTAAAGAATTAACGACACCAGAGTTTGAATTTAACGAGAGTGTCTACGTATGCAATAATTCTTCAAGCGATGAGATCTGAATAATCGATATTACTTTCTACGTAAAGTATTTTTTTCCAATCTTTTTCTTTTTTTTTTTTTTTTTTTGGACTTAATCCACTGTTACAATTAACAGTGATCATGAGGAAAGAAAGGAAAAGAAAAAACAAAAAACTAAAAAGAATGAAAAGTGTAACACTTCTTTCGTATTATTGTAATTGCGAAAATAATATCGTATTTCGAATAAAAGTTATTTGCGATCAGGCGTATTGCGTTTGAAAGTTGTGTGATGCGTTGAAGAAATAGGAAAAAGAGAAAAGAAAAGGAAAAAAAAACTATTATATATTTAGCGTTCTTTGCGGACGTTTACGCCTCGTCAAAAGAAAATCAAAATGTATCCATACCTATTATATATCTATTCGTAAATAATGAAATGTTTTCATCGACATGATTACTTTTTGCCAAGTAATCATAGAAGGGTAGGCTTCTAATGAGAGACACTTGTTGCACCCTCTCGTGCCACGTTGCGGATGCGCAAAAGTAAAAGAAGATATCTCTATCTCCTGTTTATGATCAGTCGAGATTTTACTTTCGCGAAGGATAGAACTTGCTCTCCTGTTGTTGATAATTTTTCGTTCACAACCCCCTACAGATCGAATAGATATATAATACAGGTACTACATTATCATAAGGTCTACATATACCTGTTTGCGTTTTATTATTAAAGCTCTTGAAAGAGAGATAGAGATAGAGATAGATAGATAGATAGATAGAGAGAAAGAGAGAGAGAGAGAGAGAGAAATATCGGTGAAAAACCGGATGATCCGATTGAATTTTATCACTGCGATATCCACGAATTAGTCTTTGATATCCTTTGGATGGACGTGGAAAGAAAACTCAATGTTGAAAAGAAAATGAACGAGCTAAAGGGTAGAGGTGAGGGATTAACGCACATCGGAGATTTCGATAACTATTATCAAACGCCTATACGATATAAACGATTGGCGATAAGGTAGCGCGATTCTGAGCGCGTGTTTGTCGTCATCATCAAACGAAGTTCTCTCTCTCTCTCTCTCTCTCTCTCTCTCTCTCTCTCTCTCTTCTTTCTTCTGACCGGATTCAAAGTGTCAGTAGGTATTACGATCTCGAGGAGAATCGCGCTATACGAGGTATGTACGTCTTATTGAAATTGAAAGACACCTGTGAACCATTTCTAATCTAATGGACTAATAGCTCGAAAGGACGAATCGTTTTAATTCAATTTTTGTTGATTAATACGCACACGCGCGCACATTATTTTGTTTTCGTTTTTATTTACGCGTTTCAGTGATAAGAACAAATAAAAGGATAAGAGTGAAAAAGGCAAAGGAAAATCCAAACGTTATCATTTTGCTATATCATTTGGAAAGTACGATAATCGATATCGACATTACGAATCATCAATCAAGTTCAAGTTGGAGGAACACAGCGCGAAGACGTGAAGGTCGAAGGAGATCGACGAAGGAGAAAGAAGAGAGAATAAACGAAGATAACGATAATGCGATTATGTGTAATTCGTATAATTGCGCATCTTTTTGTTACGACGAATCGTCCAATTGTTTGTTGTTGAAGAAAAAATCGTATTGCATGTACACGATCATATGCATATGAAAAAGATCGTATTCGTGTAGGGTAAAGATTTTTTTACAATTTGTCATTTAGTGAAAGTATTGTCGAAATCGTTGGAATTCCGTTTGAAGAACTTTTAGGTGAGATAGCTGAGTTTATTGGTGCGATAGATGATCAAACATATCAGCCGATAATACAGAACCCACAGCTCAGTATACTCTTTCTCGGTGCGCGAGAATGATCGTTAAAGTATCACGATTTCGATCTTGGTTAATCGTAAATCAGGATGCGCTCGCTCGCAATCGTGCGTTCGTCGTCGCCGTCGCCAACGCCGCCGTCGTCGTCGTCGTCGTCGTCGTCGTCGTCGTCGTCGTCGTCGTCGTCGTCGTCGTCGCCGTCGCCGTCGCCGTCGGGGGTTGTTGCGTCTTTCGAGCTTCCTCATCCTGAGATCGTCGTCGTACGTCTATGAAATAACTCTTGGTTTTACACGCCGGAAGAACAAAAATAGAATTGAGAAAACAGGCTAACGATCGAGATAATCATCCGACGTTGATAGCGTTCAAAGGAATGGGGTTATCGAAGCGCGAGGAAGGTGCTAACCAGTGAAAATGAGAGTTGAACGAGGAGGAGAAGTTCGCCGTTGTCGAATTTGAGAAAGGAACGATGAAGAAAATTGATCGATTAGTCGATCGATCGCGCGTACAACAGTTCCTTCAGAAGTTTCGGACATATATATATATATGTATATATATATAGTACATTTCGTTCTTTCTTCCTTTGTTTTCTTTCTTTTCTTTTTTCTCTTTTTTCTCTTTTTTCTCCGATTATCTTCATCACCTTGTGGAATCGTGGTGCGTTAATCGGGGCATAAAGGATAAATGAGATCAGCTCGCATCGATGGGGATCTCGCATCGTTGGATCTTCATTCTGACGACGATCTTTTCTTTGATGCGTCATGCCGCAAACGGGAAGGTAACCTGTCGCGAGATACAATTCCCACGCGATTGCGAAGTACTCTGTAGCACAAGCCAAACTGGGATCATCTCATGTGAGCTACGAGTAGCCGTTATATTGCCTGCTGATCCGAACTTCGAGATATCGTTGCCTAAAGTTTTACCCGTTCTCGGTAAGATCAAGATTAATATTTTCTTATCCGTGCGATTGAAACTCATTTGACAATACAAAACTTATCGCATTTTTCTTCCTTTTTCATTTTCATTTAATTCTTTGTCCTTTCTCTTTTTTCTCTTTTTTTTTTTTTTTCTTTTTCTCGTTTTTCCTCTTTTTTTTGTCTTAAGATTTGGCAGTTTACGAAGCCAGAGCTCGCAATCTGCTGCCGCATTGGTTGAATCTCACGTTTTTACCTCAGGACGACCACTGCGACGCGATGTACGCACAAGTCTGTTCGATCGATAGTTACTTGAATTGCGTGCACCTCTTTCTCGGACCGGCTTGCGATTATTGCGTCGGTGAGTGAGATTTTAACGTTCCTGCGTTTACATGCGTCAAAGTTTCTTTTTCTATTCATTTATTTATTTATTTATTTATTTATTTATTTATTTATTTATTTATTTATTTTCCTTTCTTTCAACTCGCACGAAAGCGAGTATCTCGGATGTCTTTGAATTTTCCTTTGGTTTTATGATAGACAAACTTTTGATTTATTTTCTAGCCGTCGTCGGAAGAGCAGTCAAATTTTTAGGCGCTCCGTTGATTACCACAGGGGGATTTACTTTCGATTTTACAGAGCAAAAGAGGGAATGCAAGGACGAGTACTTTATGACTACACGCGTTGGGAATTTGGCTTTTCGGGATATAGCGCAGTTCTTGATAGCTATCATAAATTAGTAAGTACAACCAAAATTAGATCGTTTTGCAATATTTTACGACAAATAATAGATTTTTATTTATTAAAAGCGTTTGATTTCATTCAGTTACGAATGGCGAAAGGTCCATTTGTTTTATGCGACGAATGGACAAATTCAAGTTGGCGGAAGGCATTGTTGTCAATTAATGATGAAATCCATGGTCGAGTATCTTAAGAAGAAGCCTAATTTTACATTTGGCACTTACGACATTGAAACTGCCACGTCGGTGGATTATTTGGAAGCTCTTAAAGTACACGTCGGCAATTCTTACGGTGGTAAGCGAAGAAAATTTTTATATTTTATATTTCGTCCTCGAACATTTTTCACATTGCCGATTAGGATTAAAATATTCGTCGATTTGCGTCTGGTCCTATTCTCTTTGGTTAGAAGATTTGACGAAAAAGTGTTTTCTCGAGAATTGCTGCATAGAAGATGGCAAGCCTCTTTTTACGATCGCTATGTCTATTTTCTTTTGTAGAAGGGTATTAATCTTCCTTTCTTTCTTTCTTCTTTTTTTTAGAATTTTTATAATAGCTCCGCCCCCTCTTTCTCTCTCTCTCTCTCTCTCTCTCTCTCTCTCTCTCTCTCTCTTTACGAAAAGCTACTTATCGTCAGAAGTTGGCAATTTTTCTTCGACATTCATAAAGATGCCTTACGATCGATAAGAACTTGAGGACTTCAAGGACGAAGAATAAAAAGGGGACTCTGACAAAGATTAAATATTCTACTTGAGGAGGAGAATATTTCTGTTATCGCGAATACGAATGGCGATTTGTAACATGGTGGATGGCACGAATCAGAGATTCGTACGATGATTTGTTCTATGGCTCCACGAGTTTTCTTTCTTTCGGTCTAGAATATTTTTAGACCAAGATATCGGACTGTTAATACCTATTCATATAGTTATCTATTAGTTATTCGTTTGAACGATAAATCATACTCCGAGGTAATTAAGATCCACTTGTGGAAAAATTAATTACGCTCCGGAAGGGTACCCTTTATTGTTAGACGTAGATCATTCCTCTTAATATACATTAATCATTTCAAGTGGATTAAAGAGTGAAAAAATTACTTTTTTCTTCATGTAATACTTGATAAGGTAAAAAACAAATGTTCGCTATCTATACAAACAGATATGGCGAACATTTGTTTTCTTGTCTGTTCCAAGAAAGCCAAGAGATTTGCGAGCTTGGTAATTGTAAGAGTTAAAGATTTTCCGAAGGTTTGTAACAAAGGCCGTATGGGAGATTAAAATAACACAAGTATTTAGCGGATAGTACCAGTAGTAAGTTTGTGCTCTTATCAAATTTTCTATTTTAGTCAGACCAAGTTGACGTTATCGTTTCGTCGTTTACTTTATCGCGCATCGTTATCGCTTACTGGTCGATCATCTTTATTATTGATATCCGTCGATATCAAATCATCTTTTGATACGGTGAAAAAAATGAATACGTCCAAAAAAAAATCTATATTTAAATGTTTCCTTAATGAACTCGTAATATTTGATACCGTTGATATCTTAGATCTGAAAGAAAATCTTTTTCTTTCGATTTTATTACCTTATCGATCGGATTTCTTTTTTGCCGATGGTCGATAATGGACAATTGTTAAATGACGAAAACTATGGAAGAACGACGGTATCGGTAATCGGTAAGTCTGAGATTAAATTTATCGACCGGCTAAAATATCGTCAGACTTGGGGGTCGGTAAAAATACAAATTTTTCACTTTTCGCATCTGTCAGTCTATTATTAAATAAAAATCAATTAAAAATTAAGTAACAATAAGTATGAAAGAAATTAATTGATATTCATGCATTTGTCTGATAATACGTAAAAGTCTAAAAATATTCAATTAAAGTTATAGTCGTATGACGATGATGGAAAAAGAAAAGGCGTAACAAAAGGCATTTGTAATCGATCTATCTCGATTCTGAATGTAAAATAAATGGTCCGTGTTAAATTACTCTCGTTGAACAAACAAAAGTTTACAAGGATTGCTCGAAGCTTTGCCTGAAACTTTAACAATTTTGCTCATAGGTCCTCAAAGCTGGTATCGCGCATCCGTCACTTTGAAACTTAATCAAATCAAATTGCAGGAAGTAAAACTTTAATAGAATTCCTTTATATATTGGATTTAACGTTAGATCATCTGGAATGTGACGTAGAGATTTCATTTTAAAGAAAAAATTTTATTTCGTTTTTAATAATCGTCGATTCGCGGCCGATCAATTACGATGGGACGCCCTATACACACACACACACACACACCCACATACATAGGTAATAAATACAAATGCAGACGAGAGTTTACCACTACCGAGTAGCCATTTTGCATTCAATTTTCTACTGTCCCCTGCAGACATTTATTTCCCCCATCGTTCGCGTTATGGATTCGATAAAGCTTAAAGGACAGCATAAAGGAATAGCTAGATAGAGAAGTATGTGTAGATAGATAAAAGTATAAATTTAATTTATTCATCTATGTTTAGGCATATCCAACGATATAAATACGATATGAGAAAGTACGATATGGTTAGAAGATGTACCGTTAGGTCATACCGCAGATAGTAAAAATAGAGGAGCTTATGGACATAGTCATGGCATGATAGATGAGGTCATTATAAATATATTAAAGATAGAAACCATAATCTCGCAATTTTCGTAACTTAGTCGAGCAAGAATAATTTCATTAAGATTATATTTCATTAATGTTGCAACTTTGGCTGAAATTTTCATTGGATCTATAAAATTCTACGTTATTGCGAACTCGTATGTTCGTCTCTTTGGTAGATAACTTCTTAAAATAATAAATTTTAATGCCGGCATCATGCGGTTATTATCTTATAATTAGATTATGCCCCTACGGCTGGTTACTTTCTTAGTGTCCGAATATGACTTTTTTCTTTTACACCTCATAAAGTAATAATAGTAGTAGGTGCGCGTAAAAGTATCAAATATTTGTCTAACTTAGTTATAAGCCGTTGTAAAATAACTGTGAGATCTTTGTTGGTTCGCGATCGAACGAAGAGGAGAAAAAAAAAGGGCGCGTCGAAGGTACGCTGAGATTTTACTGGTGGGCTTTCATTATTTCAATGGAAGAGGTGGACCGGATCGGACGCATGCGTTCTTCCATTTTACTCGTCAATGATAATACGCGCCAACCTTACACATGAGTAGCAAGCGCACTGTATGCGCGCGCACGCGTGAATCGTCTTTTTACATACGCATTTCTGGACGTAGGGTGTGTGTGTGCGTGCGTGCGTGCGTGCGTGCGTGCGTGTGGTATAAAATAACGCTAAGAGAAAACGCTAGAGAGTTATGGATTAAACTAGTGTTGGTTTTGGCATTGGCGTTTATGTTAGCGTTGACGTTGATGTTGCTGATAGAGATGGTTAGTTGTCGTCGTCGTGGCGGTGGTGGTGGAGGTGGAGCGACTTCGAGGGGCGATTCTGATCACCGTGGTATCTTTCGCCCTCGTCGGCTATCAGTTAGCAATGCGCGCGCGCTCCGAGCGCATCTTGATCCAAGAGCAATAATTTCCATCGATTTAACGATGTTTACGATTGGATAGACATATTTATTCGTGATAATTTTACGAAACTTTTTTGGAAGAATCGAATTCGTCGATAAGTCGACATTAGTACGATCGATGGGATAATAGAAAATTTATTATAATCGCCATATCGTATTAGGATCGTAACGATACGTAAATAAAAGTTTCTATAATATTTCAAGCGGGCGCATACGTGTAATAAGGGCGAATAAATTAATTAGTCGAGCAATTAATTTCATTAAAACGCGAGTGTTTCTTTTTTCCCCCAGTATATCCAGTGGTTTCGCAATTTATAATCAACGATTATTGGAGAATTCTTGAAGAATCATGTCGTTAAGGGGCATATAGTAGATTGAAAAAAAAAGTACATTAGCCGTGTCTGTGTCTGTGCCTTGTGCTTATGGTTTTTTACGTGCATCCTACTTCTCATCAGCTGTTAAGCACGTGACGGCGTGCACAAGCCTAACTCTATCTCGTAAATCGCCATCGTGGGTGGCACCCGATAAATACGTAAGATTAATGAGAAACGGAAGGGGAAGATTATTAGATCAGAAATCTGTGATCGATCGAGACGATTTTCTATATCGTGTTATATTTGTGAATGATGCCACGAATATTATTCGATTATTACAAAAGGGAGGGAAGAAGGGGACGTGATTCTACGACCGAAGGAGAACGTACGCGATCATTCGGACAAATACGGTGGGGCTGCTGTAAGAAAATAAGATAAATTATTTAAGGGAAATTGTCTTAAGGCAAGTCATTGTCGATAATCACGATGAATTCGTGGATACGGAAATCCATTAACACCCACGATCCTATTATTGGTTTCGCTTTTGTTTACGTGACACTGACGTTGATTATATTATGCGCGTTCGCTACGAATGAAACTAATACGTTCAATGTGCGAACGACGAAGGAATGTTTCGGTATACGTAAACAATCGAAGGGTGAAGTGAAACTAGCCGTAATAGCTCCTGGCGATCCGCATCACGAACAGAGCTTGCCCAGGGTATTGCCAGCTGTACTTTTGGCCGTTAAAGCTGTTAGCTCGTCGAAGGGACCCCTGCCAGGATGGAACATAAAGGTCGATCATCGGGATTCTCGTTGTTCGAGCACTTACGGACCATTGGCAGCCTTCGAGTTTTACATCAATCAGACGGCAGGTCGCTCAGAGATCGTCCACTTTCTTTTCTTTACTCTTAACCCACCCCTTTTTATCTTTCATCTCCTCATACACCTTTGCCTTTTTCGTTCTTATCGCCTTTATTTTTTTCCGAGCGAGGTAGCTAATAAATTGTCATCAGAATGTATTGTCATAAAGGAAGGAGTTGCTTTCGCAGCATAAAAGTCTCTCTCTCTCTCTCTCTCTCTCTCTCTCTCTCTCTCTGTCCGTCCCATTATTCTAATCTCATTGACTTTCTCCTTTGCTCGTCGATATTATGCATGTGAATGCCCGTCACGACGAATCTCTTTACGCCCGAAAAGAACATGAAATGCATGGAATAATTTCATAAGAAATTTCATCCGGCGTACCGCGGAACGAGGTAATACAGAACGATCCAGAGAAAATGTTTAGCTTTCGTGCTTTCGACGGACGGATGAAAAAAAGAAGTTTAATGAAAATCCGTGACAGTCGGTACCTTCGATATTTCCCCTTTGAAAGTCGTGCAATTTCGCTTGGTTATATAAGGACAAACGAATATATATACGGGGTATGATGTGCACGTTACTACCTACGTACTTATTCGTATGTATTCATGTACGTTGTCCCGTATTTTAAAAGGGTTGCATATTATACCGCGATGAAAATAACGTTTATTGCCAGCGAGATCTCGTTTGATCGTCTCGTTGATTCGGTGCACTAACCCCAATAAGAATGATCGTTACGTACGAATTCGTAAAGTGTTCTCCTTACGGGGAAGAATTCTTTTGGGCCTCTCCCGATGATTAAGGCTATTGATTCGTGCCGATTCGTACCGGTGCATTGCGTAGAAATAGCGCTTATGTTAGAGTAAAGAAAACGTTATTAGAGGGAAAATAAGAAGAAGAGAAAAAAGAAGGAGAAAGAACGTGATACAGAAGGCAAACTAAGTAGAGTCCGTTGCGTTTTAATTGCTCCTCGTTCCGCAACTTTAAAGCCGTGCCACGGACAGTAGAAATGCGGCCCTATTTTTATGAAGGGCTGACGTCATCGGTCATCATCGGTGGTTCACCAGCAGCTGCAGAGAGATCTTTCGTGTGTGCGTAAACTCGTAGCGCAACAATAAGAAAGAGGAATCGGTCAACTAGTAAAGACCGGAGCCCTGCAGGACGTTGCGGTCAATCAACCAAAGCCGGGAGAGTTTGCTCTTATGTTAGTCTGCAATAGCAGCAGCTTGGCTATTCGTTTGCGGTTGGTTATCTACTTCGCGAGACGCGACCACTTTCTTTCTTATTATCGGCACTCAAATTCCTTCTCTTAATTACGCTTAATTATTTCGATCCCTCGAAATGCCCTCCAGTATGTGCCATCCAGAGGTCCCCCCTGTACTTCTCCTCTTTTTACCCCTAATCCTCATCCCACTTTTCCCCTTTCTCCTCTACCGAGTCAATTGAACTCTCGCCCTTCTACATTCGTATTCTCGTTTGCCGGTACCTCGTCTATCTCGTTGTCTTAAATTTTGACGAAAATTCTTTCTCGTTCGTCGATGTAGTTTTTCGATTTCACGATTTCCCGATTTCCCTTTACGATCGTTTATTCATCTTTAAAAAACACTGTGACACGTACATTCTTCCATTTCGAAACTAATGGAAGACAGAGGATAAGCTGCCGTTCACATATTTACATATATATACATATATATACATATATATATATATATATATATATATATACATACGTATACAGATGTGTGTGTCCCGTTTATCTCGAAAAATTGGAATATCTCGCGAGGGATTGAACCTAGACTTTTTTTTTCTTCTTTACAGATTTGTTCGGTACGGAAAGGAATTGGTACATTATATGGTACCAATCTTTTTTCTTTTTTTTGCTCTTTGCAGATCAAGTGACGGAAAAAAATTTTTTAAACGAATTCACTCTTTCATATAGTACAATTTATAACATTTTATAACAATAAATAATCTTATAATGGCAGATCGTTGAATTTTTTTCAAGAATAATACGGTCCTATTGAAGAAAATGAATTGAGCTGTGAAATTTCTCCTATCATTAGACTTATGAAAATAGACGTCATATAGATTTGCTTTTAGTATCAAACAAATCTGTAAAAAAGAATTCTTTTTCTAGATTCACTCCCTCGCCAAAAGATATTCCATTTTTTCGAGATAAACATCTCACGCACACAATACATACATACATACATTCTATTCTGGAATTTGTAGATAGCGAATCAGAAGGGTGCACGGATTGAATAACGATTGCGTTCGATTTGCCGGTATAAATTGACGAAACGGCGTTTAAAGGGAAAAAACGGAGAGAAAGTAGAGAACTGCAAACGAACCGACTAATCAACGTGTGGGCGTATTGACGAATCGAAATTACAAAATTGAAAATGTACGGTCTGACGGTTTCTCCTGAAAAAAAGGAAAAACAAAGAAAAAACAAAACAAAAAGAAATAATAAAAAATTCCGAATTATCTAAAGCGTAATATCGTATCTATTTGGAGGACGATAATACGTTCCTTGTTTTTCCTTTTTTTCTTTTTTCACGTGTGTTTTCTTTTTTTCATGATGAATATAGAGCGGAACAATCATCGGCGAGATAATAAAATCGATATTTATTTTCCCATTGAATGAAAATAAAAAGAGAATGAATTCGGCCAAACGGTATCTATACATTTTCTTCAAATAACACGTGTAATTTCTGTGGGAGAGAAAAGACGATATAAACGTGAAACAAGTTATAATGAGATTGTTCCGTAGGGTCTGCGGGGTTGAAGGTATACGTGAGAAAAATGTATTATCCTTATTCATACCAAAGGTTGCTTTTCGCAAAGGAACGCGTTTAATGTACATGCCATACACGTATGTGAAGCTTTAGACCCGCGATATCTCATGGCATATTCTTTCTACGACGTGCCATGATGGTTTATTGCCGAAAAAAATAGAAGAAAAAAAAACAAAAAGAAAAATAAAAAGCAGATAGGAGGGCGATAGAAAGAGCGAGGCGGGGGGAGAAAGAAAGGGAATGAAAAAGGTGGGTGGGTGATAGGATAGGTGAAGAAACGTAATGCAAAACGAATATAAAATAATGACGATTTGAAGGAAATAAATGAAATAATTATTGGTCGGTAGTGGTTTATTATTAAAGATATATAGAGTTTAAAAGAGTGCTTGATTAAGGGAAAAAGTTATTATTCATGAGAAAAAGTGAGAAAAGTTTTTTTCTCGGTATAGCTAGTGTTTATAAATCTTCGTTAGATGATGAAACGAAAAGATAGGTGGTACAAAAGTTAGCAAGTGAATACGTTCTTTTTTTTTTCTTTTTTATCTTTTTTTTTTTTTTTTTTTTAATTGTAATCAATACGAATAGGATAGTTCGCACAGAAAGGAGTTATACTACTACTCGTTTGGTTCTTGTATAACCTTCTGACCAAATAGCCTTCTGACGCGGGTTAATCGAGCGCAAACCACTTTCTGCCGAAATACGTAGCCGCAATGATGTCATTGAAGCCAATACGACGTTCGTTGTTGGATCATATAGAACGATCGATGAAGGATAGAATCGAGTCTAATTGGTTACATCTCTTGTGTTACATCCGTTGCATAGGGCAAAGACATTGCATATCAAAAAAAAGAAAAACATCCATAACGTTGGCGTAATATTTTTGGCGATTAAACGCGACGACTTTTTTATGATAATCTTAATTAGAGAAAATTTCACTTAATTGTGAATTTTAATTTAACATTTTTATTACGTAATCCTTGCACGAGTGTAGCATTCTTTCTATATAAATATAACTACGCGCACATATAAATAAGTGGACTAACCCGTCTACTAATCTGTAACCTGATTATTAACCTGTTTATCTTGTCATTCATTCCTCGTCTATTTTCATTTTCGAGTCGACGATAGAACATTCGAATTTCGAAGTTTCTTTCTTTCCTTCTTCTTCTTCTTCTTCTTCTTCTTCTTCTTCTTCTTCTTCTTCTTCTTCTTCTTCCTCTTGTTCGAAAGACAGAGAGGGAGAGAGAACTTTCTGTTTCGAGCGGACAAGCACGAAACGATTCACGGAATCGTCGTAGAATTCTTGATGAGTGAATTGTTCTAACAAAAGCAGATGCCTTTTTGGGTCCCGTTTGCGACTACGTTATTGCACCGGTGGCGAGATATGCTGGTGTATGGGGGATACCAGTATTGACGGCAGGTGCTCAGGCAGAGGCCTTTCGTCATAAGGACGAGCACTATCCGACGTTAACGAGAATGATGGGGAGCCATCGTTTGGTCGGCGAAGCGTTAAGGCACATACTTCAAAGATTCGGCTGGAAAATTGCCGGTCTATTATATCATAATCACGCGATGGCGAGCAGCCGCGGTAATTCAGAGTGCCATTTCACTTTGGGAGCCGTATTTACAGCGTTGAATCAAACACCAGCTCACAAAAGTTTCAATCAGGAAACTACCAATGCCGAGGACTACAGGAATCTTCTTCTATTCGTGTCAAAGTCTGCGAGGAGTAAGTTGTTGCTCGTTGTTTCTTTTTTTTGTTTTTTTTTTTTTTTTTTTTTTTTTTTTTTCTTTCTTTCTTTTACTTTTTTCCCTACCCTCCCCCGTTACTCACAGTCCTCTCTTTCACCATCGACATCATCGTCACTTATTATCGTCCTCGTTGCTTTCGTAAAATGAATGGAATTTACGAGAGGCGTAAGGCGTTCTTTATAATGCACGTTTCTCTATTATTAAACAGGCAGCTTGATGCTTTACGTTGCAAGTTACTGTCGATGCAAGTAACGATATCTCGACTACAAAAGGAAACTAGAATTCAGGCCATCTATGCAGTCTCGAGACCTTTAGAGAGAAGAAGGACCTTAGGGTTTTCTATCGGATCGAGTAGAACTCAGATGAACACAGAGAAGAAAATATTATTTTTATATTCTTACATTTTCCCTGTCCTTTTGTACTCCTTCCTTCCTTCTTCCTTCGCCTTTCTCTCTTCTTCTTCTTTCGATTTTTTTTTCTTTGTTAACATCACAAACGTTACTTTTGAAAAGTTGGTTTCCGGACGGGACCGATATGACTTCAACAATCGTAAAATTGTTTTACGACGTCTCGTACGAGTAAATGTTTATAACACGAATGGTTAGGTATAAGGTACACGCATACATACGTTCATACACGTGTACGTTCGTCCAGATCGTTACGTCAGAATTCGAATTTTCGATCGTATTCCTTTTTCCTTCATTTTATAAATGTTAATAATTACAAAATTTGCTTTACAATTTATCTGATAAATATCTTCTCTTGAATCAAATCACATTATTATCTCTAAATCGGTATTATTAATCCAACTTATGTTTCAGTCGTAGTCATGTGCGCAAATTCTACCACCATACGAGAGATATTGCTCGCAGCCGAGGAACTCGGAATGGTTGATTCCGGAGAATATGTATTTTTCTCGATAGAGCTTTCATCTAGGTGAGTCGAGTAAACATTATCAAGATAATAACAGAACGTTTTTCATTGCTATTCCGTATAATATAAATGCAATGGAGTATCCACGTTATTAAGTCGTTTTCCGCATGTTTTACTTCCCTCAATGAGGACAATGTAATAACGAGAAGGAGCCATTTTCCATGCTTTTTAATTATGAAAGACCGGTATATATCCCGCGTTACGTGGTATTTCTTCATACCTCTTCTCGTATTTTACGAGGCTTTAAAAAAAAAATGTTAGAAAAATGTTAGGCCGGTAATGGCCATTTCGAATCAGACAAAACTTGTTATTACATCGATCCTTTCGATCGTATATCTTCTTACGATCGATTACTCGATACTTTATAGACCATTCCTATGTTTGGTAAAAAGAAGAAAAGAATTTTCGTTAATTCTTACGATTTAATTATTCTTTCTTTTAAAAGAAATTACGTTTACGTACGATTTTATCAAATGAACGATAATAGTAATGACTAGAGTAGGTGGGGGCAAAGACAAGATTTTCGAATTGACGTACTCGGCTTCAATAGAATTGAATTCGTTGAGCTAGAAATCCCAGGCCGCAACTTCTCGTCTGGATTATTGGTAAACCGCGGTCTAGAAATGTATTGATCGTAGATAGGAAGCAATCGTTGCACCATCGATACGTCCAAACCGTGTTGTCTTAAGGACAGGAAGAGGATTAAAGGCGATCTAGATCTATCTAATATGAGCTACGGCCTCCTACGAGTTGATATTTTCATAATTCAAACTCAAATTCAAACTCATTCGATATCGATAATAATCGTTCGTTTAAGTCGAACTGATGATTAAAAAAGAACTCTGAACAGAGAAGATTGATAAATTTCTATACATTGTATTTTATAACTCTGTTTTTCTTTTTCTTCTTATAAAACGTACAGCCTCTTCCAAAAAATTCATACATCAACAGTTTGTTTCCAATAAAAAAGAAAAAAGCCTTATGTATTAGTTCTTAACAATAGTTTGTTATTAGAATGTGTATGAATGTCGCAAAAGAATGTCGAAAAAAGTAATAGAATTTTCTTCGAAAGAAAGATTTGGAATATTTTCTTTAAAAGCAAAAAGAAAAAAAAAAAGAGAAGAAAAGCGATTTCTTCTTTTTCATTCTTACGTACGAACATTCAATCGAAAGTCTTATTTTATTTTATTCTTCCTGTGATTGAAATCTATTTTCGTAAAATGTGACATTTGGATATCTTTGATTAGATTATTAGGAAAAAAGAAATTTCAATTTTCAATAAAAAGCAATCGGTACTTTCTTCTCTTTTTTTTTGCTTTTCTTTCTTTCTTTCTGTTTTTTTTTTTTTTTTAACAAAGATCAACCATTAATTAACTGCAAAAATTGTTATAGACTTGAAAACGATACGGATATTGAACGGCTATACGTAAAGGCTTTTTTTTTAATTGGGAATGACCAGCCCTATCCCTTCTCCTCCTTTCGTTTGATCCATGAGATATCTTGTACATTCAAATCCATAGTTTTGTAAAATTTATTACTACGTGACGTAACTCTTATGTTACGGCGTGTAACATAATCGATTGAATCGAATTGAATTTAATAAAGACATTGAAATTCCAAAGTAAATTATTTGTCAATCAGTCGTCGTGTACGAAGTTTTGTCATTTAATGAACGTTAATCGTAAGGTTAATTATATTTTTTATTTTCAATATAAATGTTAAAGGTTATCAAGTGGTTCGACAGAACAAAATATGAAGAAAAGAAAGTAAAAACAAAGAGAAAGGAATAAAAAAGAAGAAAATTCAAGAATTCTTGCGTCAGTTGCTTTGGCTTTTGGACGGTTCGAGAGAAGCAGAAAGGATTCTTGGAAATTTCTTTGATTTTTTTTCTTCTTTTTCTTTTCCAGCGACAACAATTCCATAGAACCATGGAAATTGGAGGGCGACACGGATGAGAGAAACGAGAAGGCGAGAAAAGCGTACCAAGCACTTTTGACTGTAACCGCACGGACTCCTGACGATCTTGAATATTTAAATTTCTCGCGTGAAGTTAAATCGTTGGCACAAAGCAAATACAATTTCACCTTCGGCAATAGTTCCGTTTCGACGTTCGTCACGGCCTTTTACGATGCCGTTCTTCTTTATGCTCTCGCGCTTAAAGAGAGCCTACCGGAAAAGCCTACCGGTGAGGTTGATCTTGATGGCGGCAATTTAACGAGAAGAATGTGGGGTAAAAGTTTCAAAGGTTAGTTCGCAAATGTCTATGAGAAAGAGCAAGAGAGTTATACTTTCTTTCTTTCTTTTTATTAAATAGTCGTAGATAAATGATCGTCACAAGTGATATTTCATTAGAAATCGAGTTAGATTTTTTTACGTAAACTTTGATAGTTACTTTACCAGTTTGATAATTATTTCAGGTATAACCGGAGACGTGAATATCGACGAGAATGGCGATAGAATCGCGGATTATTCCCTTCTGGACATGAATCCGGAAACTTCGAAATTCGAGGTAACATGTTATACGGATTATTAATTAATGTTAATTAGGAAGGACGCATTGACTCGTCGGTCAGGATTTAACTTATTTACTCCTATTGAAAAAAAAAAAAAAAAAAGAAAAAGGCTTTTAAAACATTTCGATCCATTATCATTCAATGATTTATCCAAACTTTATCTTGATTCCATTTGTACATAATTTTATTTTGATTTGAAATAAATTTTGTTCATATTCACGTTCATCGATTGAAAATTTTCCCGGTTAACAGTTAAAACGATTGACGTCGTGCGAGATCGTTAATTCGGCTGAACATGACTGAAATAAAAGGATTGGATACTTTTATATATTTTAATCAGATTTAACGATGAAATTCTTTCGTGAAATTTTATTCGTTCGTCGGTAAAACCGATAAAAGTGACGGTAGTTGATCAATAGGATTTAGCGTAATCTCTCTCTCTCTCTCTCTGTCATTCACGATTTATCGTTTGTTAAAGATCGTTGCCAATTATTACGGTGCTAACAAAACTCTGGACTATATAAAGGGAAAACAGATTCATTGGTCCGGCGGAAGACCGAAACCACCCCCCGATACTCCAACTTGCGGATTCGATGGATCTCTATGTCCGGATAATTGTAAGGATTTAATTTGATCTCTCTAATATAATCTTAAGATATCGATTATAACGACGTGTCGAAATTGAATTACTACGTTAAATGATTTTCCCTTTTCTATTTCTCTTTTTACTTTTATTTTATCTTTCTTCTCCTCTTTCGTTCCAGCTCTCCCAGGATACGCCATTCTCTCGATAGTTTTGAGTTCGATCGTGGTCGTTCTGGTTGTGGGCTCGGTATTTATTTATCGGTAAGCGATATAACTTAAGTATTTTCGATCGAAATGAACGAAAGAAGAAGAGGAAGAGGAAGAGGAAGAGGAAGAGGAAGAGGAAGAGGAAGAGGAGGAGGAAGAGGAAGGAAACAAAAGAAAGCAAAAGAAAAAATAAAGAGAAGGGAAGACGAAAGGAAATCTGTCGAAACATTTTCTATGTAGAGTTAGGCAGATTTTCTCGGGTAAATAAAGCGACGTTACTTTCCATCTCTAATTTAGTTGAGAATTTCCAGGTATGCGTATTATGAGGAACACTGGAACGTAATTAGGTAGCTAGTTTGCAGTAGGCGAGCAGCTCTCCATCCAAGCTACTCTCGCAGCGAAATACCAAGAACAAGGATGTATTCCCTTGTGCTCGTAGATTCACGAGTCCGAGCGAAATGTCCTTAGCCCGTTTTCATCTCTAGGGAGAAATAACTTTCGCATAATAAGTTTGCACTCTCTATGACTCGACAAATAATCATTAGAATGAATAACTCGGAAATATTAAATGATAAGTCTTGATGATGGGCACTCGTCATGGAAAATCGTTAGAAATTGAAACGATCCTGAGTTTGCCGATTTCATCATTCGACGTATTCAATTTATCAGAAACGAAATAATAAATCTCGTTAGAGAACTCTCATCGTTCCTTACCAACTACCAATGTTCTAACCTTGTATCTAACGTCCTTTATATTATCGAGTTTTAGAACCGTCTCGTTTTCTCGTTCGCGTTTTATTGCCATTCGTTCGAAGTGTTTCTCTTTCGACGAGAAGTCATGACGACGTTCGACAGCCAATTCGGATGATGTTTCTTTTTTTCCTTTCCTTTTCTTTTCTTTATTTTTCTTCTTCTTTTTCTTCTTCTTCTTCTTCTTCTTCTTCTTCTTCTTCTTCTTCTTCTTCTTCTTCTTCTTCTTCTTCTTGCCTTTTTCTCCCCTTTACAGTCACTTCAAACTAGAGGCTGAAATCGCTTCTATGACGTGGAAAGTACACTGGGAAGACATCGTCTGGGTACCTTACGCGAGGACTAGAGGCTCGATGTATTCGTTAATTGCCAACAAGTTACGTAATAGCCAACTTGTGAGTATCTCCAAAGTTATTTTTATAAAAATCGTTTATTTTTATGATGTTAAAACTCATCAAAGTTTTTCCTTCACGTTTCATCGGATCTCAAGTATCACGGGATTTTATCTTAACCGGCGGAGATTATGTATATATACTTATATAGAAAGCTTTGAAAATATTAATCTTTCAATAATATTTCTTCTTCTCTTCCTATATTTTAGCATCCTTTCAAAATATTTTTTAACATATATCATCTTTTGGATATAGTCTCTTCTTCGTCATTAGATCATTTTTTAATCGTTTGAAAATTATTCAGATTATTATTTTATCGAAAATTCGAAAAAAATTCATATTTTTCTTTCATTAAATGAAAGTATTACAAAAGGAATCGACTTCTTTTTAAATATACTTTGATGATGTTTTCGTTGTTTTATTTTTCTTTATTTCCATTTTTGATAATAACCCATAAGCGATATCATCGGATAATTCGAAGAAGATAATGAATTGTTTTAATCTTTCCCGTTGGGAAAAGTACATGGATTTTTAATAACATTTTATTCGTTAAATGAATTACTTGTGTGAAAAAAAAGGATGATAAAAATTGCCTTTTTTATATTATTTATTTTTTGGCCATTTAGATGTACGTAAATGCCCCCTTAACATAATTTAACTCGTTAACGTTAAGAGACGCTTTGTCATTTGAGCGATTTAATTTTGAAAACAAATCTCTTTTGCTGCACAAGATCCGAGTATCTCGATAATGACGGTACCTTTTAAAGCCGATCTTTTTTATTCTTTTTCTTTTTTATTATTTAATTTCTTTATTTTCTTTTTTTTTTTTGTTTGCTTTTTTCATTTACAGAGCGTATACTCCGATGATAACGTTAGTCTACCAGAGGGTGTGGACAAGCACGTCTATATTCCAACAGGATTTTACAAGGTAAGTTTTCATTTTCCTTCAAAGGCGTTTTCTTCATCTTTTTTCTTTCCTCTCTCTCTCTCTCTCTCTCTCTTACTCTCTTTTTTCAAACGGGATCAAAGTATTAATAGAATGTCCCCGAGCGAATATTTAGTTTTCTTTACCTTTACTTCTTCCTTAAAGTTCCTCTTTAATTTCCCTTAAAATCCTATCGCCTTCAGTTCTCTCTTGTTTTTTTTTCCCTTTCTTTTATTCTTTTTTTTTCTTTTACGTGGGAAATAAAAGAAAAAAGATCAAGAAGAAGAAGGAGGAGGAGGAGAAAAAAGGTGTAGAATGAAAGAAAGAAGCAAGAAGTTTGCATAATTATAACGCGACGCAGGGCTTGGGGGACACGATTAAATTTGCAATGCCAATAGTACGACGCAATGATCTAACGAAAAAGTTGCATACATCGCATTTTCTTTTTTATTTTTTTACTTTTATCTCGTCGTAATTTACAAATGAAGATCAAAGAGAGATACATAGAGATAGAGACAGATGGACAGATAGATACAGAGAGAGAGAGAGAGAGAGAGAATGTATTTTGAAATTCATTACAGAACTCAAAGGTGGCTATAAAATTAATACCAAGGAACAAAGTGGAAATGTCGAGGCCTTTATTGCTCGAGTTAAAACGGGTGAGTATCGATCACGCACATATACAACACAATGTTTCGGCGAACAATAATTGCCGTCGAAAGTTGATCTTGCGATTAATCATATCCCGTAATAATAAACGTTCGCCACGGGATACATTAACAACGATCATGGAAAAATGAATTTGAGTATCCTAAGATGACATGAACGAACGTTTGTTGTTGTTTCTTTGTTATTCTCGAAAAATTACATAATAGAAATGAATTAAAATTTTTATCCTCTTTATTTCTTTTCTCGAAGAAGAACACAACTTTTTAAGAAGATTTATAAATACACCTATCTGCTTCCGTTCTGATAGATGAAAGATCTACAGCACGATCATTTGGTCCGTTTCTATGGTGCTTGCGTCGATCCACCCCATTGTTGTCTATTGACGGAATATTGTCCTAAAGGATCCCTTCAGGTTGGTCGTAATATCATAAAGAAAAAGATATATATATATATATATATATATATATATATTTGTGCATATGCAGACGAATTATATTATTTATCCGTGCAACAAAAAGCGAGTTGACGGTAACGCGATTAGACGTAACGTCGATTTAGTCGAATAATTATTTTTCTATATTTTCTTTCTTTAGGATATACTTGAAAACGAACAGATTAAACTCGATCGTTTGTTTCGCGGCTCTTTGATACACGATATAGTACGTGGGATGGCCTATTTACACGCTTCCGAGGTCAAAAGCCACGGGAATTTAAAGTCGAGCAATTGCGTCGTGGATTCGCGATTCGTCCTAAAAATCGCCGATTTTGGTCTTCACGAATTGAGGAGGTCCGGACTCATGGAAGAGGAATTCGACAAAAGCAGTTACGCTTATTGGAGACGTAAGTAAAACTAATCAATGCCGCCGAGTGTTTGTTTGTAATGAAAAATAAAAAAACAGAGAGAGCAATAAACAAAAGAGAAACGTGTTATCGTTTATAGGACAATTGTGGACGGCGCCAGAGTTGTTGAGAATGGAGAGGCGACCACCGGAAGGTACTCAAAAAGGTGACGTTTATAGTTTTGGAATAATCGTACACGAGATCGTCGTTCGTAAAGGTCCTTTCTATTTGGGAGAAAATTACGATCCACCGCCTAATGGTGAGTACACCATTTGCATAAACGTAATCGTAATAGTAATAGTAATAGTAATCTGCATAATTTATAAGATAAGGATATATATCAAATAACATCTATAGATTTAGAAGAGGGAAAATTTATATACGTTCGTTAATGAAATAACACTTGAATTGTTACAAAACGAAGTACGATTAGAGCATGTCAATTTTGTGCATACAAAAATTAATTGGTCGAACATAATCAATCTTTTTATTATTATAAATTAAAGTTTAGCTTTTTCTTTGGTTTTCAATCAACTAATGTAGTAACTAAACATATTGTAAGATGCTTTTCCATTATCCTTTAAAATTAAGCTTACATGTGAAATCATTCACTCTCGTTTATATAATCATAAATGTCAATATCTCGTTAATTGTTAACTTTAGGCCTATATAGGCGTTCAATAATTTTGTTATCAAAACAATCGATGATCGAAATATCTGATCAATTAAAATAATGCAGGGTGTTCCATAAGAAAGATTAATTATCATTAAACTTGCAGTTTAACCGAAAGTTGAATATTATATTTCGTATTCTTGAAATTCAACTAGCCCTTCATTTACGATCACCCAGTATGTGCGCGTAGAAGGACTTACATAACTGATGTCCATCGCTTTGTTAATCGTCGTATCCATCCACTTACCTCTCCTTTTTTTTCCCCACCACGTAACTACCCATGTATTTTATCTTACCCTCTTTTTCTCATACGTCGCGTCAGAGGATAATACGGAAAAAATTGTTGTTGAAATCCCCGATGTACCTAAATTATTGACTTAAATCCTTTTAAATCGTTCAATTTTCGTTCGATTATCTAAGTAGGATCAATTTTTATATCCATTATCTTTCGTTGATACGTGGATTATCATTTCCATCCTAACAGATGTTTCCTGAAATGGACTGATGTGCCTTAGCTTAGAACGTGTCCGATAGACTGTCGAACGGAGCTTATCCGGGTTGTTGGCAAAGTTAATTGGCAGGTTCTTTTTACGTATAAAGATATAATAGATTTGAGTGCGAAACGAAGGATATACTGTGGTTAATAATAATAATAATTTAGGAATAATACAAGAATAGAGAGAGGAGATGGTCGAGAACTACATTTTTATTAATTAAAATTTTTCTCTAAGGAAAATATTACCAGCGAATGATGGAAAGGGATGAATTTTCCATCGAGCAAGAAAATACCATCCTCTTGGTAAACATCCCTTAATGCATTTTATTTCTATCGAATGGAAAATTGATTATGATTGATATTGAAAGTGCAGCAACCTGTTAGCACACCCCTTTAGATTCGATATTTTTCCAAAAGACAATTCGTCGATCTAAAGGGAATAAATCAATATTCATTTGTACGAGAAAATTATTTGAACGAGGAAGTTGGAAAATATTTTCTTGTTCTATCGTCTCTATTAGTATCAGAGCCATTCTAGTCGTCTCTAATAAATAAAGAAACGATCACGATATTCGTCGTCGATCGCGTTACTCTGCGTTACGATAAAGACGTAAGGCTGCATTATCATAAGATAAGAAGAAAACTTTTTGACCGACCACTCGTTAGCGCTTCCATACTTATCGACAGTATTTATTATCGACAGCCGATAAATATTTTACAGAGAAATGATTTATCGACCGATAAATAAATTTCTTATGTATCTGTCGGTATTTTTCAAAAGTTACGATATAGGTTCACTATCAAGTATTTTGATATCAACGAAGTCGGTAAAAAAAATTATAGTCGAGTAAGCTCGTGCGTATATCCATCAAGCTCGGAAGGATCGATCCTCATACTAGGAACGAGAAAGTCGAGCACGATCGCGAGGAAGCCGTCGGCGAAAGCTCAGTCGAAGCTTTAACGCGTCCTGGAACACTCATTTCGCGCGCGCTCCTTTCGTAGTTTCTCTTTCTTTCTCTGTCGCCTCGAGCACACTGTTTCGCGCTTCGTTTCTCTCTCTCTCTCTCTCTCTCTCTCTCTCTCTCCCTGCACTCATTCACCCTCTTGCTCTCTCTATCGCTCTCTATCTTGCTATTTATCATTCTATATCTTTCTCTTTCTCTTCCTTATTTCGTGAAATAAGTGGGACTCCCTAATGTCTATCTAGATATATTTAAATTTCTAACTATGTAAGTGATAACTTTAAAAGGATTTCGATAAATGTTTGAAATAAAATTAGGGATTTACTTAACTCGCACACGGGGAAATAGAATTTTCTTTTTTCTTTTTTTGTTCTTTCTTTCTTTCTTTCTTTTTTTTTTTATGTTTGTTTCCGTCTCTCCCTTGAAAACGAGAGATGCAACGCAACTTGGTTCTCTCTCTCTACCTCTCTTTTTTTTGTTTCTTTTTTTTTTGATCACGCACAGAGAAAAGGATAAAGGCTATGAGATCGGTTGAATGGTGGGCGGGAGGAAGGGGGGAGTGGAAGAGGAAAAGACCGATCGGAGATTAAGAGCAATTCGTGGGCAAGGAATCGATTGGAGGCTGTCATTGCACTCGGAATGTGTCTCGCCTTGTATCCGTTTCATCGGCGGGGTTCGGGATCGTAAAACGTGAAATGGCCTATTCGTACCACTTCCTCGAGATATTCGATTCGTCGTTAAAGGATTCGAAAGATTTTACTTCACGAAAACCACTTTCGTTTGATTCATCCGGCGAACGTCGAGTCGATTGCTTCATATTCAGGGATAGTTGAATGACTACATATGTGCTACGAAAAATAAATATATATATATATATATATATATATATATGTACACACACGCACACCTATATATGTTTATATATAAAGCTAGATATGAAGATAGATCTCGTTCGTGCGAATCAAAGATCTTTAAGAGAAACGATTCGTATCCCGTTGTTAGTCATAAAGTTTGATGCACGGAATCTTTGAAAATCCCGATAGAATATCTACGGGGGTTATATTTCATCTTATAATCTCATTACTTTGCGTAAAATCGTATCTTTCGATAATATGACAGATCACCGTCGCGGCCAATAACGATGACGATGTCATTTTATCCGATAACATTCGGTCCATCATCCCTTTCTCTGCTATATTAATTAGGATAACTTCGATCATAAATTGCTTATTGAAACATAATGTTTCATCGTTCTCGCGTAATATTAAGCGAAACGGAAACAAATCTTCTTTTTTTCTCTTTTTTCTCCTTTCCTTTCCTGCGACAACTAAAATAGGACATTGTTAAAACGTAAGCTCCTTTATTTCGATTGAACTCGTTCAAACGAAATTCCACTTGACTACTCTTAAAATAATCGGATAAAATTTTGCGAGAAACATTGTTCGTTTTCCTTTGACAAAATTAGATAGACAGATAGAGATAGAGACAGAGAGAGGGAGAGAGAGGAATTCTCTCTCATTAAGTTTAATCGTAATTACCGACGTCAAAATTATCCGTACGAAACGCAAACGAGGACAAATATTTACGTGGATTTGTATTCTTGGACGGATTTGCATCTCGTTTTGCTATCCTATCATCCTATTTTAACCGAGGAAAGAAAAAGATTCCGCGCGCGCGTTGAATGTGTATCCGTGTGTGCGAGGGAAAAGAGAGAGAGAGAGAGAGAGAGAGAGAGAGAGAAAGAGAGAGAGAGAGAAAGAGAGAGAAAGAGAGAGAAAGAGAGAGACAGAGAGAAGAGGGAATTTACTTTGCGTGAAAGCTCGAGTCCCAGTAGGGTAAAGTTCAAAGGAGATAGCCTCTCGATGGAAGAAGACCGCGTCACTCTCTCTCTCTCTCTCTCTCTCTCTCTATCTATCTCTCACCCTCTTTCTCTCTTTCTATATCTTTCTTTCTCTATCGAATTCCAGAGTCGTTTGAAATCATAGTAAATGTATATAACCCAATATTTATCTTTTTGCGAAAGAAATAATAAAATCAATTCGCTTTTAGATAGATTTGTCAGTAAGAGAGAAAGAGAAATAAGGGTGAGATATATATATATATATATATATATATATATATATATATATATACATAGTAGAAAGGGTTAGGTAGAAGAAAATAAAATGAAAATTTGTGAGGAATAGTCGATTGATCGATTTGTTGTGAAGATCGTTATATATATATATATATGGGCCGGAGGAAACGCTACTCGAACGATCGATGAAAAATATATTTGATAATTTGCGTGTAGGGAGGAAGACAGTGTGAATAAAGGAAATAAAAAAGGTGAGATAGAAAATAATATGGCGGATAGGAGCAACGCCTCGGGTAGCAGCAATCTGACATTACCAACGATGTTGGGCGCGAGTCCTGAGGGTGGTGCGAGTCCTAGAAGGGCCGTTAGTCCACTCCTCGAGGTCCGTAGACCACACTGCACCCTCAACTGCGAGTCCTGCAACGCTTATCTGGAAGACATCTACAGGCATAGTAGGTTACGTTCGTTCTATTTTGGTTCGTCCGATCAAACCAGGATTAGTTCTACTGTATGACAAAATGAAACTATTACTACTACTATTACTATTACTACTACTATTATTACTATTACATACATACGTTTACGATTGTGGATAATAGATTTTTGTTTATTTGTTCTTATCCCTTAGTTTTTTTTTGCTCCCACGATCTCCGAGTCGATCAGTAAAAGGAAAAACCTAAAAATGATTTTTCGTTTTACTGAACTCGTTCAATTCGAGAATAGAGAATCTTATCAATAAATATCTTGTTAATTGGAATCATATAGAAAATTGTTACTTAATCTTAAGGAAGATAACATAAGAAAAAGAAGAAGAAAATAGTGGGAGAGAGGGAGGTGGAGAGAGAGAGGAAAGTCGTATGAATTTGAAACGTCAATTACAGTTTCCCGAGCGTAATTGGCACAGCGCGCGCCCTTATCAAAATCGATATCCTCTTGGCATTACTCCGATGTTACGAGGATGCATAGATTTCGTTTGAACATTATCTCTCTCTCTCTCTCTCTCTCTCTCTCTCTCTGCGGACTACTTGCGTACTCTTTCTCATTTTGTTCTCATTTTGAACGGGAGTTGAATGAAATTTGTTCATTCTCGAGAAGAGAAGGGGAAAAAGAAGAAACGAAAGAAAAATAAAAAGAAGAAGAAAAAACCGTCGTTTTTTCATTTTGATTACAGAAATCGTCGAGGGTGTCAGGAAAGGGGGTAGTTCACCTTTAAGACCTGTGATCGACGAGAGCGCCGTGGAGGAGGAGGTCAGTGCATTGAAATAATGATAGTAATAATAATAATAATTTCTTTTTTTCTTTCTTTCTTTCTTTTTTCCTTTTCTTCAAATACATACTACTACGTAATAATAGATCTATGAAATAAATTCTGTATCTCGTAACAGGTAGCCACATTAATGAGACGATGTTGGGCGCAGGATTCAGCCGATCGACCTGATTTTCCCGCGCTAAAGCAAACCATACGCAAGATCAACAAGTAAGTAACATGTCCTTATTGATCTTTTTCTTCTTCTTCTTCTTCTTCTTGTTTTCTTTTCTCCTTCATTTTATTTTACTTCTTTTATTTTTTCTTCCCTTTCTTTTCTTTTTTCTTCCTTTCCATTCGCAAATAATAATGCAAAGTCTTGGAATCGTAAGGAACCCCTACCTAGCGCGAAAGCGTTTCCGCGAAAGCGTTAAACGTGCAATAATATCAGAACCATTTTCTTCGAGTTAGGATATAAACCTTGAGAAGAATCGTCGCCGTCAAATCGATCTTGGAATCGCTCAGTTGTAAAACTTAAATCTTAAGCATGACTCGAGCGTGGATCGTGAAAGGATAACTTTGCCAATTAGTTCGCTTGTCGTTGTGTGTCCGTGCATGCGAGTGCGCTGGTCTACGAAATAGTATATACGTATATATCTATACCTGACTTCATCAACGACTTCTTTCAGTACGTTTCGACGTTGAAGTAAATCGACGAAAGGATTTTCTTTTTTATCTTTACTTTTTTACCTTTTCACGATCATTCTCAAAATGTGATGGTTCTTTTTTTTTTACTTTTTCTTTTCCTTTTCTTATTCTTTTTTCTTTTTCTTTTTTTTTCCATATTCCGCCGCTCTTTCGAGGTCTTTCACCCCGAATATTGGCATAGTTCTTGGCTTTCTAGGCACGCCACTAACACTCGCACCAGACCAACTTTCCTCGGTTCTTATATACGAGGAATTCGAAGAGTGTACAGTTGAGTTCAGGCCGAGTAACTTGGTAGGTCAATATCTGAACGAGAAAGAGTGGTTCCTGGGTGGTCGAGTTCGAGGGAGAAGGAGCGTTCTGTAAACCATAGAAAAGAAAAGTAAAGAACCATAGAAAAGATGAATAGATAGAGAGAATGTGAGAAGAAGTATATCGTTTTTGATATCGTTCAATGGGATCATCCTGAACTTTACGACTCTTGAAAGGGATGCTCCTAAAGGGATGTCGAGTTTTGCTTAGATCACCCAGGAATAAATTTGTTTAATAGATTCTTTCGACGAAAGAAAAACCAAATAAACAAGAAAAAAGATGGAAAATTGCGCATTCTTTTGGGATAAAAAGAGAGAGAGAGAGAGAGAGAGAGAGGAACGTCAATGCCGTTATATGAATGTACGATGATAATGCGAATTTCGTTTCATCGAGATCCATCCATCGATGCTTCGGTACTGTTCTAGAGAATGCACGATTGACGGCGGAGTATGAATGGTTGCCTACGTAAAGGCGTTCGCGGATCGGTGTTAAACGCATTTGAAAAGCACTCGAGATATCCGCGATATTGTCAGCGGCAGATTAAATCATACGTCGGAACTTACGAACCCGATCGAATTCCATGGATATATAGATAGAAGAAGAAGAGTCCTATGTCAAAATATGGAATTATTATTATTATTTCGTGTTTCTATTAAAAAGAAAAAGAAAAGAAATACAAAAAGAGAGAGAAATAAAAAGAAGACAAAAAGAAATTAATTTTAGCTCTCTCGGAGTCAATTTAGTCGAAAAAAAAAAAAAAAGAAAATTACATTACAGTTACATTTTTACCCTTTTGAAACGTATATCTTTTGCGATCCTTCGTAAAGTTTTATTCTCCTGGGTGATCTTTGAATCAATTAGATTTTTCTCTTCGACTTGAAATTCGAAAAATTGTCTTGGCTCAAAAATCGACGGAAGTGAACGGATCGGAAAAAAAGGTAAACAGGCCTTTTTTACGGTCGACCGAGCAACGTCGTACTTGCTTTTTCCTTACAATGGAAAGTACGGCCTGTCTACCTGTTATAAGTAAAGATAGCAATTTGTCAGGTTAAATTACTAAAGGATTTAAAGTTTAGCCATTATCGAAGCATTTTAGGAAACTATGTAAAATGAAAACGTTCAGAGGGGATAAGATAAGCGACAATGGACGATCTCTTTCCAATCGATTTTCAAATTTACTTTAAACAAGTTCTATTTATCTTATTTTATCAATACCCGACTTAAGTAAAACTTAAACCATTTCCTCTTCTTGTTTCTTTGGTATAAAAGGTAATCTCTTTGATAACCCGAAGACGTCATTTCTTCTAACGGTATTCCTGTGTACCGTTAACGAGATATATCTCACCAACTCGACATAACTTTTATGACTTTTATTCATGGACACTCATGGAATTAATATCGCGTTTATCGATTCGTTCGCGTTTTCCAACCGATATGATCGTTAATATTTTCTTCGGTTCGGTTATTATTATATCAGGGCTTGTCACAATATACATATATATATATATATATATATATATATATACACATTATATATACATATATACGTATACATAGGGCGAGATTATAATAGGATTAGATTAATTAACTTTGAACGAAATAACCTTTCGACCTTGGAATAGGTATATCGGACGATTGCGAACGTTGATTGGTCGAACAACACCGGGCACTGTAACCGCGTGTCACGTTACTGATGAATACAAGCGCTAAATGCAATTTCTCTTCTGATAATAGAATTATCCCGTCTCTTTGATAGAGGCGAACCTAGCAACACGTATATGCAACGTAATTGTATGCACCTGTTTTAGAGATGGGATCATTTAAATACGAGTTAGAGAAGGAATGGTGGCGATGGTGGCGATGGTGGTGGAAGGGTTAGCTGAGGGATTGAGTGAAAGGTTGGGCGAGGGGTGTCGATACACGCATGCTTCTATATTTTCTGTGTGCAAACGTTCTCCGTATATGAACACCTCGACATTATATTCACCCTTCAACAAGTATAACGTTAAGAATAATGTTATAACGTTCTATTATTACAGAGATTACGAGAGTAGCAATATCCTGGATAATTTGTTGTCTCGTATGGAACAATATGCGACGAATTTAGAGACCTTGGTCGAGGAACGAACTGCGGATTACTTCGAGGAGAAACGCAAATGCGAAGAGCTACTGTACCAGTTACTGCCAAAGTAAGTTGCATTTAGATTTACGTATTTTCTCTAACGCAAAAACCGATCAAGTCGCATTTAACTCGCCTTTTGTCTTGTTTTAGATAGAATTTTAGGTAGAATTTAAGAGTTCTGCTCTTAATAATAATAATATATATATATATATATATCCATGGTAGTATTACGGGAGATCTGATTTCTTAGTTTTCAATTTTTGCAATTTCTAATCCCTTTTTTATCGGTGTTATCAATAAAAAATATGTTGTTATTATATACTTTTGGTCCTTCCTCTTTAGACACCGTAAATGAAACTTCTCGGAGAAAATATATAGAAAATAAATTAGAAAATGTTTTATTCGATGAAATCAAAATGAATTAATTTAATTAAATTTATAAAATATCTTATTATGCTTCTTAATAATTATTTTTATTATTCAAGAATATTCTATTTCAATCATTTTCATTATAACATGTATATACACCCTGTATATACGTAAACGAAACGAATATAACAATTTTATTTGAATTTAATCGACAGAGTGAACGATAAAAAATTAATCTCTCTTCAAAGCCTGATGTATTCAATTAATGAACGTACATTTAGATTAACTTTATTAACATTTATACATTACGCCAATTTCATATTTCAAACGATACGAATCGAATTAATTTTATACCGCGTTTAAATTCTTCGAGGGAATCATTTTCATTGTGTTTATTGTTATTGATTCTTCTTTTTCATCTTTTAAATCGATCCTTTTACCTTTTTTAATGCTTTATACTTTTCTAACTGCTATCAACGAGCTTCATCTTTTCAAAGTGATCAAAAACCATATCGATATGGCCTCGGAGTAAACGTCAATCGATCTATCCCCCACCAGGAGGTCATTATACGATAGTGTCTCCATAAAAAAAAGGAAAATAAATAAAAAAGAAAAATAAAAAAATTGTAAAGCATATAAACGAAGTAACAAAGCGTAAACATTTAATTTATCGAAACTAATCGAATGGTCTGAAATTTTAATACGGTTCTTTCAAACGAACTTACAAAGTCGGATACACAATTATTTACTTTTTCTCCATGAGAAAACGAAAACGATTGAATAACAATTACTATTGTCGTAGCGTAAACAGACGTACGTTGTTTATCCTAACAAAATACAAAAACAATAAACATCGAACGACCAGTATCGCGAGATCGAGTCGTATATACGGATAATATCAATTTTCTCGTTAAATAAATTTTTCTGGATAATTAAATTCTTCCTCCTCCTAAATCCATCAACTTGATACCGATCTCTTCTGTCATTTAAAATCATATATTTTCGTATTATACACGGATAAAATGTATGCAGTAAGAATTTCGCGTTAGATCCTTCATTTGAAAAGCGGCTTGTCACGAAAAGGTTAAAGGTTAAACACTCCTTACTAGAATGTTGTTCGTTTTACCAATCGGTCTTCCCTACGTCGATAATACTTTCTTGGATAAATGTTATACGGATATTATCATATTGGAAGTATAACCGGAAAAATATTAAAAGCGAGTAATTTTTTTTAATACAACGTGGATCGTAATTTTAAAAATCTTGCGAAAACATAATTTACATACATTCCGTTTTACATATTTCCCCGAACAAGAGGATTTTATTTGTTGACGCAAGTAAATAAATAAGTAAGTAAATGAGTAAGTAGGTAATTGAGTAAGTAAGTACGTAGTTATTTTCATCGTAGAGAACAATACTTTATTTTACAATTTTTTTTGCCTAGTCCAGGTGGAATACGTATGCTTTTAACGTTCTTTAACGAGCGCCGGGTTTAACTGAACGTGACGTGAAAAACTTGAAAAATTTATCTTCTTCTAGAAAAGTTTCCTTCTTCTGGGAAAGACGAGAGAATTGATAAACGCTTTTATTCTCTTTCTCTTCATTTATTTTCGTTATTTGAAAACGAATTTGATATCGTTATATACATGTATAATATATGCATCTCTCTCTCTCTTTCTCGCTTTCTCTCTCTTTCACAGATCCGTCGCATCTCAATTGATACTCAGTCAAAGCGTGATCGCCGAAACTTACGATCAAGTAACAATATACTTCAGCGACATCGTCGGTTTCACCAGTCTATCGGCCGAAAGTACACCTCTTCAAGTAGTCGACTTGTTGAACGATCTCTACACATGTTTCGACTCCATCATCGAAAATTTCGACGTTTATAAGGTAATCAATTGATCTATCAATCATACCCATTTAATTATTTATAATTTATTATTCACAATTCGAGTGATTCTTCTTTTAAGCTTCAATATATATTGCAAATTTAATCGATATCCAAAGGAAAAGGAAAAAAAATCAATAAATGAAATACATTCGTAAAAGTAGATACACGAGATATCTCAAGATAGAGCTAAAAGAATAATTTGAGATTTTTCTAAAGAAGAAAAAAAAAAGGACTTGTTTTCTACGCACAAGGCTATCTCATCCTAATTGTCCCGGTGAGATGATCCATCATTCAGGATGTCGTGGCCGAGCTAAAAAAAGAAAAAAAAAAAAAGAAATGGTTTAGAATATAACAGGAAGAAAAATCACTTCTTTTGTTCGTCTAAAATTTCTCTAGAAAGATCATATAAATATCCAAAATTTTCAATATATTTCGTGAAATCCATTTATCGCATATCACACATCGAATCTAATATTCTTGTTCCGATTTACGCCTTTCTCCAAACCCATTTCAGCGTCATCTTCTTAATCAAAAACTTTCTTCAGCATCTCTTTCTCGGCTACAAAATCTGACAAAAATTTTCATCCGAAGATATTCATCATCCGTAATTCTGAAATTATTTCAAGTAAACGTCTGCTTTGCATAAATTCCGATTTACTCGAATTTTTACGACTTTTCTTTCCCCTCCCCCCCCCCCCCCTTACTTTTGCCACTCAAAACGACAAACTATGTTTTTCTAATTCGTCGAATTACACCTGACGACGCACTGAGAATTGGATTAATTTACGTTTGACCTGTCGCAATGCCTGTCACGAGACTCTTTTTATTAATTAACAACCAGATCGTTCTTCATTCAAAAAAATGCATAATGGACTCTCGTCATTAATAACGATTAACATAATGAATAAAAATGCATCATCTTTGTTAAGCTCCAGGATTTACGTCGTAAAATATATAACGGTGTAAAATTTTACGATGGTTGAATTATAACTCGCGATAGCCATCGATTCCGAGACTTAGAGAATGATGATTCATTTGTATTTTTTTCCTTCAATAATGTTACAACAATATCTCGTCGCGCTGAAACATAATCTTTAAATATTATAGTAATGCGTTGTATTCAGGCAGAGAGAGAGAGAGAGAGAGAGAGAGAGTGATTATTTTTTGATAAATTCTTTGTAAATTATGATTCAAAGAACAAGATAAAATATTTTCAAGAGTAATTTAATTTCTCTATTAGAAATAACTCGTCTAATGTTTTAGTCGATAACAAACAATGATTATCGTTTATAAGCTTTCTTAATAATTGTCTGTATTAACACTTCAAAAGTATCGAAAAAATCGGATTGTATCTAAAAAATATGAGATCGTGTCGTTTCTCTAGAAAGGCCATCTTATCCTATATCGAGGAGGATAGATCGTCCTTATACCCCGTCAGAGATTACTCTCCTCTACTAAACAATTATATCTCGACTTAATTGATGGCTATCTCGGAAATAAATACTAATGAGTGAATCGAGGTGAATGGGGTGACTGGGGTGTGAGATGTAGGGTTAGGTCTCGAACTCTCTCAATATCGAGTTTCCTTGATCAATCGGAAATATCGGCTAATGATGCCATCGATGGAAAAGAGCAAGGAGAAAAAAGTGAGAAAGAGATAGAGAGAGAGAGAGAGAGAGAGAGAGAGAGAGAGAGAGAGAGTAGTTATACCTTCGGGCTGTTTAATTACTTCCGTTCTCTCGGCTAGGCATGGCATCTATCGTGTCCGTCATCGATCCGGTGTCCAATTGCACCTGGTCTAGGACGCGTAGCTTTTGAAACGTAAATATACCAGTTTTCAGTGTATATCATCGATATCGATCGAGTTTAATTAAATAATCTTATTCTCCTAAGTAACTATCTAAGATTAAGTGACTCGCTAAGCGATCCTTGAAGATGATACTTAATTATGCATTCGTTAAAACGATAAAAGAAAAAGAAATAAAGAAAGAAAAAAATGTAAAAGAAGGAGAGGTAACTAACTGATTGTTAACTGCTAACAGGGAGAAATTGGGTATCTAATTTCCTTGAAATTTCTTCTTCCCCTCTGTCTATTTCGCAAAAGGTCGAGACGATAGGAGACGCTTACATGGTCGTATCCGGATTACCAATGAGAAACGGTACGAATCATGCAAGGGAAATAGCGAGGATGAGTTTGGCACTAAGGGACACCGTCATGACTTTCAGAATCCGTCATAGACCAGAGGAAAAATTGAAACTTCGTATAGGAATGCATTCCGGTAAGTCTCTTTCTATTTTTTTCATGATCGAGCTTTTCTTTCTCTCTCTCTCTCTCTCTCTCTCTCTCTCTCTCTGTCTCTCTCTCTCTCTTGTAAATGATTACGAAAACACCCATTCTAAATTATCTCCGATAATACGGAATAAATTGGAGCGAACGAGTATTTCTATTAGAAAATGTGTTTATGTATGCGTGCATGAAAGAGAAATAAAGAGAGGGAGAGAAAGAGAAAACTTTTCAATGGACAAGCCGTTTACGAGGAAACACTTTTGATCGATTTAAATGAGATATGTCGTGCGTAACTTCGATTCGATTGCAAAATCGAGTTAATTACTTTTTAAATTGCGTTTAAAATCGATCGAACGTTTTTTTTATAAATGAAACAACGGATATAGATTCATACGTCGAGTATACTTTTTATAAAATGTGTCTATTGAGTTATGGATATTGATTCTTTTTTTAACTCGATAGAATTTACCGAGGAAAACAGGTGTCCTTTGTTATATATGGTGGAACGTCGATTAAACGAAAAGTCGGATATAAAACGGATCGGATTATCTGAAAAAAAAGGAAGAAAAAGAAAAAAGATCTAATACATTTCATAGTTTAATCGTTACCTCAATAAGATTAGCTGGAATTTACTTCTGGAACAATATGTATATATAATTTTTATTTATCAAAAAATATTAAATTATCATTATTCTGATCGAAAGGCGATTTAAAAATGAGTAAGGTTTAAGAATGAATTGGCTTCGCCGTTTCAGGACCATGCGTAGCGGGTGTGGTTGGTTTGAAAATGCCGAGGTACTGTCTATTTGGTGATACGGTCAATACGGCATCTAGGATGGAAAGTAACGGTGAAGGTAATTATTATAGAGCCAAAAGAAAAAATAAATAACGTTTGGTAGTATTAAAAGAAGGAAATGGAACAAGTAAAATATTTTCTTAATAGGCTATGCTCGTTGTACTTTATTTGTATTTTTTGTTTTTTCTTCTTTATTTTTTGTTTTCAAACAGCTTGGATGATACACGTTAGTCCAAAGACGAAAGAGATATTGGACACTTTTGGAACATTCGATCTCGTTTGCAGAGGAGAGGTAACATTAAAGGTAAGATCTATCTTTTGAATCAAAAAGGGAATAAAATGTAAACGGAATTCGGAACTTGCACGCTGGTAGGCCTGGTTAAATTCAGGTCAGAGTTCATCGATCGACCGCTAGTACATCATCGTCCTAGCGTTTAACCAACGATACGGTCGTACGAAAAAATTTGTTTGCATATGCTCAATCAAAATTGCATTCCTTATAGAATCGTCCAACGAAATAATTGTTAGCGTCGAGCGTACGTCACTACCAAATCGAATTTCATTCGTTCGCACGCGATATAGCAAATATTTATTTGTCGAGCTAACTGTATTTCTTTCTTTTTCTTTCTTTTTTTTTTCCTTTCTCCACAAATCGCAGGGTAAAGGTACGATGACGACGTATTGGTTGATGGGTGAAAAGCCAATCAACAATAATATTAAACAAACAAATACAGCTCAATCAACCGCCCAACTTCCGTCAGTCCCTAATGAATCAGTGTCGCAGCAGCACCAGCAAATACAACCGATGAAAAATCAATCGATTCAAACGAAAATCGAATCGAAGGGCCAAACTCACGCTACTCAGTCGAAAATTCAGTCTAAAGTGGAACCGCCTCAAGCTCATTATGTATCAGTTAAAGATCTTTCGCAAAAGAATCAACCTCAGCAACAACAACAAAAAGCACAGCATCAGCAAGAGAAACCACAACAGCAACAGCAACAACAACAAAAACCACAGCATCAACAGGAGAAACCACAACAGCAACAGCAACAAGCAAAACCACAGCAGCAGCAGCAGCAACAAGCAAAACCACAGCAGCAGCAGCAACAACAAGCAAAACTACAGCAGCAGCAGCAGCAACAACAAGCAAAACCACAGCAGCAGCAGCAACAAGCTAAACCACAGCAGCAGCAGCAACAACAACAAAAACCACAGCAACAGCAGCAACAACAACAGAAACCACAACAGCAACAACAACAGCAGAAAGCACAGCAGCAACAACCACTACAAGCGTCGTATCAAAGTAATCAAAATCGAATACATTTTGATAGCAGTAATTGCAACATCACGGCCACCGGAAACGGAGCACCTGCAGGTCGTGTGACATCAAGCAGTGTCGTTTCGCCAGCTCACGTACGTTCAGTTCCAGCACAACCAAATCGACAGGCTTATACTTACTCGACGGAAAGTATGCCGAATCACACCGAGAGTGGTCCAAACACGCCCCTTCTTTTACCCGCAGACTCGGCGCCTCGAATTTAGCTCTCTTCGTGCGTCTCTTATACCGAGTTTGAAAGCTCGTTGACAAGAATCGAGTATGATTCTACGGATATCCTGCCATCTAATAATAACCAAGGAAAAGACTAATTCTTGAATAAAAAGGAAAAAAAGAAGCTCTTGCTATCGCGAATCGGTCCAGATATCAAAATAGTTAGTGCACGTTCTTGCATTTCTATAAGTTTACAATAGATGGTGAGATATCGCGTAGTGCGAACGAGTGGTGCCATTGCCGAACAGTTAGATCGACGGTAAGTCGAATTATAATATGTATACATATGTAATAAGACAAAGTGATCTCTTTCTAGATGGTATTACAGAACCAATAATAAAGTCAATGGTGATGCATCTGACTATATAAATCACCTGATTTTTCCAAAGCTATGTTATATTACGTACTCCTATGAGACCGATGACTTGTTTTAGAGAAAACAAAAAAACGAAGAAAGAGAAGAAAATAGAGAAGAAGAAGCACCTCCATTTAATATAAGTAGGTATTCGTGGAGAGGTTGACCTGAAGGGCCCCTGGATAGCTTAATGGTTAGAATAGCTGCCCCAAAAAGCGGAAGGCCCGCGTTCTTGAGTCCTGCTCCAGATTACATGACGGCCCTACTTTTTTACGAATCCTACGTATATATATATATATATATATCTACATTGGGCGAATGATTCAGTATTCAATACCGATTAGCCCGAATCGACCAGTATTAGACAAGGTGCTGTTAACGAGAAAGTGCGTACGACGAAGTGGAGAAAAAAAAGATTAAGTAAGTTTTCTCGTATAAGCGATAAATTACTCATATTTCTTTTTACGGACGAAAATCTAGGACGCGCGTTTTGTTCATTGTTTTAATTACATCAAAGTATTCACATCTCTTAGGATTATTACTTTTTCGTCGTCTTTCTAAACCGTATTTTTTAAAGCTTTGCCGAAAGAAATCTTAAACGACTACACTCAACAAGTATATTCTTTTCCTTTTTTTTTTAGTTTTATGCCAAAAAAGAGTATGTCCTTGTGTATGTGTGTTGCGCCTGTGTGTGTGTGAAAGAAAGAGAGACAGAGAGAGAGAGAGAGAGAGAGAGAGAGAGAGAGACATAGGACCAAATTAACTTCGATCTGCTGCTATCCTTAAAGTTTCATGGAGATATCATTTTCCATTCATTATAAAGGGTAACACGAAACAAAATGGATGGTATAAGTGCGTGGCGAGACGAATGAAAGGGTGAACTTTGTCGTTAACGTTGTACAAGAGAGAATCAATAATGAATTTATTCCAAAGTTATATACATATAACTTATATATATATATATATATATAACTTTGAAATTAAGAAAAGAAAATATCCACTTGAGTTAATTGCGATGGGATAACGAGAGATAAGTATATATATATATATAAAAATATAGCTATATCTATATATGTATACACGGTCTAACACACAACACACATAATATGTGTGTATATATATACATATGTGCGTGTGTGTGCGTATATATATATGTGTTTACAAAGATGTTACGAAGAAATAGATTATATGTCTGTGAAAAGTTAGACAGTATAGAAGCATCGATGTTCAGCAAGCAATTTCTAGCGAGAAGAGGCTGGGCCTCTCGTGAGTATGTTATAAAAAAGGAAACAGATGAAGAGAGTAAGAGCGAAAGAGAGAGCGAGTGTGTTTGTGTACGTAGGATTATATGCATGAGAGAAAGAACGTAAATAAGTAAGTACATATACATAGAATGCGTACGAGCGTTAGTATGTACGTAATATTTTGTGTGTGACTCGAGAGAGCGAGCGTGTTGCGTCGGTCAGTCAATGAGACTATGCGCGTGCGACGAGAACAGAGGGGTCAATCGTTTCTTGGCTTCTCGTATATAAGAAACGTGACAAAAGAAAGCAAGGAAAGCGAACGAGCTTATCGTGTATGTATATTGAATATATCATGTCGTAAGAAATAAAAATTATATTTATGTTCATTCCTTTTAATGTTGGTAACGAGGTCGATATATTCCAAAAATAAAATTCAATCGTTTTCAGGATTACGCGTTTGTTGCGTTTGCTGATATCGAAAGTGAGAATTTAAAAGGAAAAAAGGAGATAAGGCAGAGAGAGTAGGTCCATCACGTTAGAAAAAACGTGAGAAGGGAAGCATCATTGGTTTCGATTCATATAGAAAATCAAGTTGAATACACAATTCGTGTTATTCGTATATAAAATTATTATATTAATGAATTAAATTAAAAGACGGCATTCGCGAATATCCAATCGAGATAAAAGTTTACGCGAGTGTAAATTCCAGGATGGCCAGGCTCACCACAACGAATACCCCAGGAAACGATTCCAACGTTCACCCATCTGCCATTCCCGAGTTGATGAACCAATGGACCACCAGAGTCTCCCTGACAAAGAAAGAAATAAAGAATAATAAGAAAGAAAGTAAGAAAAAAAAAAAAAAAAAAAAAAAAGTAAGTCGAACCTCTAAGGACTAATACATATTTAAAGCTCACGTTACGTTGAAATTCAGTCATGAATGAATTCACGTAGCATGTAGGTTTCTAACGCTTTTAATTCCTTGTGCTTTAGAGATTATGTAAGAACTTTTTTTTAATCCTTACTTGCTAATCCTCCATTAAGGAATCTCCTTAGTAAAGAAAACAAACAAGGAAAAAAATATAACGAATATAGAAAAGAAGAGAGAAAACGAGAAAGAAGAAAAAATAAATAAAAGGGAAAAAAAGAAAAGAAGAAGAAAGTAAATCCAATCTCAAAGAGCTCTTACATATTTAAAACTCAGTACGGTTAAGAATTAATTCACGTATGTAGCATTTGGATTGATTTTAACGCGTTTGATTTCCTGTGAGAGGATTACGTAAGAGGATTTTTTTCAAGTCGTTCGTGACAATCGTCACTGGAGTCTCCTTAACAAAGAAAAGAAAAATACAAAAAAAAATAAGATAGTAAGGAAGAAAACAAGAAAGTAGGGCCAACCTCAAAGAACTAGTACATATTTAAAGCTCATTACGTCAAAGTTCAGTCAAGGATGAATTCACATACATAGTGTCAGGGTTGACTCTAATGCGTTCTATTTCCTATACTTTAGAGATTACGTAAGGTTATTTTTTTCTTTTTTTTCTATTTTTATCAGACAAACGTCTTCTTAACGAAGAACAGAAAAATAAAAAAGAATAAAGAATAAGAAAGGAAGGAAGAAAATAAGGAAGTAAGTCCAACCTCAAAGAACTAGTACATTCGAAGTTTCATTACGTTATAGTTCGGTCAAGAATGAATTTCACGTAGAGTCTGGGTTGATTCTGACGCGCTCGATTTCCTGTGCTTTAGATATTACATAAGGCTTTTTCTTTTCTTTTTTTCTTCTCTTAATCCTTACCTGACAAGCGTCACGACCTCCTTTGTAAGCGCCTGCGCACATGGTAGCCTTCGTGATACGTTGAGTAAAGCTCTTAATGCACAATTCTTGAGGCCATATCGGTACTGTAACCTCCATAAGAATGGTACTGGCTGGTCCACCATAATACTGTGTTCCCCAGCCTGGTTAAGAAAGAAACGAATATCGGGGTTTATTAACATAGATAAATCTATCTCATAGGATAGATCGTGTAAGCAAGGATACTTCTCAACCTGTAACAATAGCTGTTTTTTTTTCAAATGTCTGATCGATTGGTGGCAAACATATAGGCCAAATGTAACTGTTGAAGGTAGTGGGTCGTTGTATCTTGATAATGGCAATGTCATTCTCGTACGTGGCTGGATCGAAATCCCTATGGACTCTTATTTCCGTAACCGCAAAGTCCAAAGCTCTGGTTTCGTTTGATTTCGTAAAGTCATATTCACCCAGTCTAATGATAATGTCGCGTGGCTTGAATCTAATTAAAAAGGGAAGTTTTGTTTTAATGTCTAGTTTGGTTAGTGTCGCAATAAGTAAGTAACCAACTGGCTGGTCCCAAGTACTTTTTCTAATTCGAGCAGATTAACGACTTACTTTTGAACACAATGGGCAGCTGTTAATATGTGTCTGTCGGTGATGAGAACACCTCCACAATACTGAACCACGTCTTTCCTAAGTAACGCCACCATCCAAGGCCATTCCCGAGGATCAGCCGGTCGTCCACCTACGATTCTCGTACCAATCTTTATGTTCGTTCCACATCCTCTCTGTATTCTAGCTTTTCTATCGTCTAAAATATTCATATAAAATAAATCTCGACGACAATTATATTTGTAGTTTGTTAAATAGCACATGGCGAGCCGCCATAGAAATAAATCTCGCATAGCGTTCGCATAGATTTGAAATAATTGTCGTATTTAGCGTAACGCAAAGGTAACACTTATGAATTTTAATATATTATCATATTATATTACCATAATATTATCATTTATTTAACGTCGCACTTTATTCAAACTACAAGGAAGAGTATATAACGCGAAAAAAGGGAAAAGAAAAAAATATAGTTGAAGGCAAACTTGTTCACATCTTGCATCTCTCTCTCTCTCTCTTTTACTACCTGGATTATTTTCCTCTTCGCTGTAAAAACTTGCTATAGATGGTAATGGACCGGCCAGACTTTTCACGAACGACGAACTCAATGTGCTCAGTGACTTGTTCGGGCAACAAATTCCTATTTGACTAAAAAATATGTTTATCGGTGAAGAAAGTTAAATAAAAATAAAAGATGTATGATATTCGAGATAACTCACGTGTGATTGAGAATGCACATATTATTGAGAAATTGACTGGTATTCGATCGGACGTCATCGAGTACGCATTCTCCGATTTGTTTACAGTGGCCTTCCTTGTTGGCCGGAGTCAAGCAAGCTTGAGATATTTCGTATATCTACAATGGAAATATTTTTATTTCATTATCTACGGATTTAGAATAATATATTTTATTATGTATATATATATATATATATTAATTTATATTTTAATACGTGTATCACCTTCTCCTCGGTATATCCTCGATCGACGTCTGGCTCATTTTGAATATCTAAGAACAATATAATATGCATTAATAGTGATAACAATGAGAAAAAATTTTAAATAATCGTTTATTCGTTTAAATCTTTTCATTATCGACGAATTGTAATCCTTCCTTTCCGAGAATTCATCGAGAACATTTATTAACGTCTCCTACGGAATTTTTCTTTCTTACGATTTACGTCGATTTACTATATCTCCTTTCTTTCTTTCTTTCGATCGATTTGGATAAATTTACAAGTCGTATTTCGACGATTTTCTATGCGAAGGCTTATCTTCTCCCTCACGGTATAACCAACCATCGCTTTGCGTCAATCTTGCGCAATCGAATTTAATACATAAGTTATTCAGCACTTGGTCTCATTAAACTTTGATGCGATTTAAACTAATTCTTATTCGAAACGTAAGAAATAGAATTGACCATGAATTTACTCGTTTCGATTGAAAAATTTATATACGAAGTTAAAAAACGATAAAATCATTGATATTTCGTAATTCTTCTTACTTAATAATATATTATATGTATGTATATATTTATGTATATATAATAGGAGACGTATGCTTACTCGTAATATTTGTTTGATCGACAGGAAGGCAGTAATTGCTTCGAAGTACGAACAGGAGCATCATTAATGATGCCGTACCAAGGATCTTCTTAATAATCGACATTTAAATGCTCGTCCTTTCGTCGTTGAAATCGTCGTAATCGTTGTAGTCAATTGTAGTCAGCTATGATTAAGAGAATTTAAACTATGTCGTGACAGAATATACCGAACGCTCTAGTGAATCACGAACGACAACACTAAAATATAAGAAGACCGCTGCTTAAATAGTGAACGCCTGTAATGTATACAGCCCGCTATACAGAGATCCACATTAATTTGCTAAGCGACAGGCGTATGAGAACGTAAGAAAAAAGAAAAGAAGGAAGGGAAGGAAGAAAGAAAGGGAAACAAGAAAAAAAAGAAAATCAATGAAAATCATCATTAATGAAAAATTTATATTAATCTCGAGCGCTAATAATTTTCAGAACATTGAAGCTTCGATCGCATCATATTAATCTTTCTCTCTCTCTCCCTATGTATATATATATATATACATATATATATATATGACAGCGAAGTAAATGTATAATAAATCGAGTGCGTAACTTGAGAAATATTCGATTCCGTTTATACCTATTTACTTATACATAGTTATAAAGCCTAACTTATACATAGTTATATGGGAAGAAATAAAGATAAAGAGAGAGAGAGAGAGAGAGAGAGAGAGAGAGAGAGAGAGAGCGCGCGAGATAGAGAGAGAAGGACGAAAGAAAAAAAATGGGAGAATAGATAAAACCATAGCATACTACTAGGACAGCACATAATGACCAGAGTATAAATCCATCGGGTCTTCTTCGTCTTCTTTTCTAAACGGACATCACCCACATACCTGTACAGGCCATTGCCTTCTCGTTGAGGTCTCACGTGTTTAGAACGCTCGGTTCGAGCTCAAAGATACCTATGTATTTCTCCTCCTTCTCCTCATCCTCTTCATCCTACTTCCTCCTATCTTCTCCTTCCCTCCTCCTCCTTCTCCAATCTCCTCCTCCTTTTTCTTTTTCTTCTTCCTCAACTCTGTCCTACATTTCTTCATTCAAAGAGGAGGTCGGGGATTTGTAGCCGGAAAAGGATCCTTTCGTGATCCGATAACTATGCGGATACTTGTAACGTAACATAACATATTATGAGAAAAATAATCTAAGAAACAACTCAACTCAATGAGATATATCAGTTTAAACGAATAAACTGGTGGATGATGGTTTACTCGCTCGCTCGTTCATTCGGTTTGTTCGTCTGGTTCGTGTCTCTGTGAAATATTGTCATCACCCACATGCACAGCACGTCGTTTCTCGGCCATATAAGATAAAGTCAGTTTGACCGTTCGACCGTTTTCTTCTTGTAACAACGTTTACCGCTACGCCACGTATCTTTAAGTATCTACGTTTCAATTAGCCAACCGCGTAAGAAGACCAAAGCGATACTATTCCATGAAAATCATCTCTTGGATTCTATCTATCGGAGAGATTTATCTCGCAGATCTCTTTATAGAGGAATCCATCCAATCGATCGTAAGATATCGGAGGAGGAAAACGATTACGTACGTTCATGTTAACTAAGAGACAGAAAGATGCGTGAGAGAGAGAGAGAGAGAGAGAAATAAGGAGAAATCCGTCGAGAACCGCGATTGGGGGCAGAGCTGGGGGCATTGCCATTTATGGCACCCCCCATATATATATATATATATATATATATATATATATATATATATATATTCGCCAACTACAGCTCTCTTTGGTCTTCTCATTCAGCATATATGTATGTGTACGTACCTATGTACGTATGTATGTATGTGTAATCGCAAAGTTCTCTTCATGCGTTAACGAAACCTACCTTTTTTGTACGTTCGAATCCTCATCTCGACCCGAATGTAACAGGGAGGACAGCTTGAACGAGAAAGATCGTGAGACTTTCCATGAAAATGAAGGTAAAGATTAACATCTCATGTTAACGAGTCAACGCGTATCGAGATTAAGACAGAGAGAGAGAGAGAGAGAGAGAGAAGAGAAAAAGAGAAAAAAATGATAGGAGTTAAATAGACTGGTCGAGAACTCCTCCATCCTTTCTTGTTCTTACGCCCACGTGTGTGTGTATATATATACATATGTGTATATATAGCCAGGAATTATGGCCGCAATGTAAAAGACAATGATCCCACATCTAAGTCCTTTAAGGATGTTTCACGTAAGTATTTACTTACATAATTACGAAAGGGTCGTATTGCCACCTTTCGTTGCTTCTTATTTATATATACACATTATAGAAAGATATAGCGAGTTTAATAGGTCTAACGTTTAAATAATAAAATCGCAATAACAATAAGATAATGCAAAGCAAGTATGAAAGAAGTATGCATATATCTGTAACATAAAATAGACGCGAATTTTATCATTAACTCCGTCCAATCGTATACGTCATTGTTCGTAAACATGCATTTATTTACTTATCTATGTACGCGTGTTGTTCGTTCATCCTATAAAGAGTGCATTTGAAAATCTTTGTTCGACTATACACATTCTTTTGATTTGGCGTCTACGCATCGAAAAGAGATCTCGTCGTGTACCTTCCTCCCCTCCTACCGTCCTCTTCCTTCTCCCCACCCCGTTCCCTTACCAACCCCTCCTTGTAATTTGCACATCGTTCCACCTGGCGACGCACGATTCTTTATTACCTCGGTCTTTCTCTTCCTTTAAGCAAAATTTACGTCCGCCACCCTCCCTCCTCTCCCCAGTCTCCTTCCTTCACCCCCTCGGTTCCTCTCGACGTCTTTTCTCACGTCTTCGAGTCCGTTCCTTTAACCGACACAGTGGTGCTTCGAACGTACCAAAAGGCACTTGCATTATTTATGAGAACGGAATACTTAATTAGTAAGATAAGGATCGTTTTATTTTTTCCTTTTCTTTGTCTTTTTATTTTTCTTTTTTTTTTTTGTTCATCCTTGTATATACACGTTTTCTTTTTTTTCCCGTTTGGCTTTTTATATAGATCGTCGCGAAATTTCTTATTTCTCTTTTATATTTTTTCATTTATTTTTGGTTTCTTTTTTTCTTCTTTTGAATTCATAAAAGAAGAATGAGATAAATATCTCTTCTCGCGAAATATTTTTTTTCTTTCTTAGCCGTGGAATTGTTCTCTTTTCTTTTCTCTTTTTATTTTTCTTCTGTTTTGCATTTAACGCTAATTGTAAGCGTGTAAGCACAATCGATAAAATCTTACAAATCACTCGTCGAGTTGCTCTTTTTTTCTTGTTTTACCATAGCTCTAAGACTTTCATTGAATCGGATTTAAAAAAGAAATTAAATAAGAGAAATTTTTTGTCACGTAGCATTTATTTCGATAGCTCTTTATTCTTTACTTTTACATTTAACAATAATTGCAAAAACAATGTATCGATAAAATTTTACGCGGATAAAGGGATAACCTTTTTTCCTCCCTCTTTCTTTCTTTCCTTTTTTCTTTTTTTTTTTTTGGATAAAAAAATTATTATTGTAGCCGTGCTCGTTACGAGGATGTTACGAGTGTGGCTTAAGCGGAACGGGTTTAGCATTAGGATCATCAAGGTCTAAAGTATAGCCGGTTACGTCGATTCCTCCCTTCGTCTGATTGTAATATTTTTCGGTGTGATAAAAAGTTCTACCTATCACTTTATCCTCGATGTCATAAGAGTATGGTTGACCGTTAGGGAGATGTCCTGACGTGATTATCCTTGACGTACCAAGACCACCATTAGTAATAATCGTACCAGGACCACTCGTGATAATCGTACTACCGTCGGTTGCGTAACTTTTCAGTTCTCCTAAAGGTAATAATTAAAAAACAAAAAAAGTTATAAATAAATCATTCCCAAAAGAATTTCGGACGTGATATAAACGATGAGTCAGAAAATTATTGGTAGATGTTGAAATATGAAAAAAAAAAAAAAGAAAGAAAAGAAAAATAAATGTTAACAAAATAAGCAAGATTATTAAAACCAAAGGGGAAATAAAACGGATTATATTTGTATAAGTCGCTCGAATTAAAATCGAGATAAGAGTATACGCTCTGATAAGAGGAGATTGTCGTCGGTGCGACATCAGGGTTGCGTCGATCAGGGAAGTGCGTGAAAATATTTCATTTTCCTTTTCGGTATTTAAATAGAGACATGTGATTCGACGGGCGTATTTTATTGTCATATACCTAATATTTTATTATTATCATTTGAAATTACACCATCATTATGATTAACGATCGCGAACTAACAAAGATGCCGGTTAACGAATGTTATAAACATTTTTCAATAAAAGGTCACAGCTAAATCCTATCGTCGTTCTAACCGATGCAATCTTCTTGCATCGTGCGTTAAAGTATAAGTCACTCGTAAAGGATTCTTAACTGAGGAGGATAAAAGGAAAGAAAAAAAAAAAAAAATAAATAAAAGGATCTTTGATTGAAGATAAGGAGCGTATAAGACACCTCGGGGGATATCACGAGTAAAATCACGGTAATAAAAGTTTCCCGTAATATAAATCGAGATCCTCTTTGATATTATCACGAAGTTTGATGATTGGAAGGAGGTCGTCGATGAACGCGATCGTCGTTCTCCTTGAATCGATCGAACGAACGAACGAACGAACGAACGAACGGTCTCGGTCGATAGTGAAAGGATCTCTTTCGTTTCCATTTTTTTCTCTTTTTTCTTTTTCTCTTGCATCCGCTTAAGAATATAGAATCTCCATTATAGTGGAAGAAAAAACAAAAAAAAAATGTAAAAACCGTTAAAGATTTATTCGGAGATTGAAAATGCATGTCTCTTTTTTTTCCAATTTATTACCTTTCTTAATTGCCTCCTGAACGTTCTCTTCGATATTTGCGGTTAGCTTTCTTACGTCGGCCAACGACTTTTCCACGTTCTGTTGTATGTTATATTGTAAGTTTTGTACACCCTGTTGTATTCCCCGTTGGAATTCACTCAAATCCATTTTAAATCCGCCCAACCAATCGTCCGTTTGACCTTCGCTAGTGCTGCAATAGTTTTATATAAAGATTGCGAAATATTACGATTGCTATTTTTTTCTTTGTTTGTTTTTCTTTCTTTTTTCTTCTTCGTGCAGCGCAGTAGCGAAATAGTTAAGCCACGTAGACGGTTACGTCGACAACAACAACCGATATATCTCGCTTTCTATTGGTCTCTTAATATCTATGTGCTATGTGTGTGTATATATATATATACATACACACATCATTTCATGTATACATACATATATATATATATATATATATATATATATATATATAAACATGTATATATGAAGAAACACTCACAAGATCATCCAAATCCCAAGCGCAAGTAGCAACTTTGCATACGTCATCTTGAATTTTCTCTTCTGTTCGTGTTGGTGTATGCAGAGATGCAAGTGTATAAAAAACAAATGAAAAAGAAAGAGAAAAGGGTACGAGTTCGAAATAAAATCGAATTTAATCGATCACCGGCAAACAATGTGACGGATACGATTACGTGTTCGTGGTTACTTACTTAGTTACGACGCGAAAACAACTGCGTGGTGAAACTGTAATGTGCTGCGGCGCAATGCACTGACGTTTTTATACTTCACTAATACCACTATATATTCAAGCCTGTTCGTTAGTTTAACGTCGTCACCGTCGTAGTCGTTGTAATCGTAGTCGTAGGCGAAGCTCTACTATCCAACCGGCTAACAAATTAACTAACTAACTAACTAACTAAAAACGTTGTCATCCTCGTGATTTGTCTATTGCATTGTATTCGATATAACAATAATGATTATTAATAAAGGTTTACTAGATCAAATTCGTCGATCAGACACGAATACATGCTCAAAACACGATAATACATATCGCATTATCGCAGGAATCGCGAAATAATTTTTTTCTTTTTCTTTTTTAATTTTTCTTATCGCATATGGTTAAGTATGAATCATAATCATACGATTCGAACGCATAGATACATATGATATATATATATATATTACGTATTATGTATATCAAAAAGAAATTAGTTGAATATAATGATTGCTCAACACCGACGATTGACGCTTACTTTAAACGATTCTACGTTCTTCTTCTTCTTCTCTTTCTCGCAATTTGCTCGAACACAATCATCGGTTCCGTTCTCTCTTTAGGGTTTTAGCTCGTGCCTGGTAACGAGACGAGCGCTTCGTGAAGCTGATTAAGGATAAGAGGATCTGAAAGGAGAATAGAAAGAGAGAGAGACGACTGCAATTCGTCCAAATAGTTAGCTATCTTTCTTCGAACGATTGACGTCTTTATTTTCAGCTGATTTTCAACGACTAGTTTATTATTACATTTACATACATAGGTGTATTACATTTTTTCTAGAACTTAGTTACTTATAGAACCTTAGAACTAATCACGGATAATTTATTAAGTCTTGATATTTCAATGGTACGTCTATGATTATTTTATATGGTTAGATTATAATTAAATAGATATTAATAATAAATATGATAAGCGAATAAATGTAAGAGTTAAAAAAATAAAACGAAAACATTTATTCTCAAATTTTAATTATCTATGAAAATAATATCAATTTTTATAATTTTTCACGCAATAATTATTAACTTTCAATGGAACACTACATCGTAATCCTATTTTATGGATTCTATTCATACCAATGTATTTACACACACGCATATACGTATATGTACACTTGAAAATTTTATCGTCGATAGATAAATAGATAGGTAGATAGATACCTTAATAATGAACGAAGCGGATAAACGAAAGGACACGTGCTATTATTATTCGTTGACGTTGTAAACAGTTACGAGAGATCCTTTGCATGCCGTTTCTCCTCGATGTTGTTGTTCAACGTCCCGTTGGAACGCAGGATAGAGTCATAAAGTCGTCGAAAGTAGCGTAACCAGTGCTCGAGTAGGCACTCGACGACGACGAGCAAAGGGAATTCATACGACGAGAGGTAAGGTCGATATATTCCAGAGAGAGAAACAGAGAGAGAGAGAGAGAGAGAGAACTTTGTTGACCCATGGGCCAGAAACAGGTTCTGAATTCGGGATTATACAGCACGAACGAAACCGCATCTTCTCGTACGAGACTCCTCTTCTTATCCTCCTCTTTGGATTATACGCATTGATCTTCCCTTACCCCCTATCCTTATAGTAAACGGCCTCCTCTATACTTTTCGTCCTTGAACCCTTTCTCCCTTCCATTACCGTCGTTTTCTCGTGAGGGCAGGTAGTAGCTCGAGGTGGGTCCACCTCGTAAATGCGTAATCATGTTCTTTGCCCTCTCTCTCTCTCTCTCTCTCTCTCTCTCTTTGACGGGGAGGTGGGAGAGTGAGAGAGGGGGGGGGGGGGGAAATAAAAGGAGTTGAATCGAGCGGAGCCGATGTACGAGACCTATCGTCCTTGACGGATTGTAACCTTGAGATAGGACGAGTCTTTAGATGAATGACAAGTACTATCTTCCATCGTCCATCGATAGGACGATGTGTCAGAGGATCGATCCTTTTTTGAATTTGTCTCTCACGTTTTGTAACTTTTTTCGAGAGGATTAAATGGAAGAAAAGAAAAAAACCACAACAATAACAACAAGAATAAGAGTAACAATAATTTGTAACATCATCAATCACGCGTTTTAGATGCCTCAAGTAGAATTATTTTTCCGAATTATTATTTCCTTTAAATTTGTCTCATATTTTATTTTTGTTAAAATATATTTGTTTTTTTGTTGTCTCGTACATTATGAGAGGACAAAATGTGAAAAAAAAAATACTACAAAAACAATAACTTGTTACATTATCGACCATCTTCCGATGCGTTTAAATAGCTGAAAATCGAATTGTTTTACCATCGAATAATGATCTTTGTCGAATTCGTTTCGCTTTTGTCGCGTTTTATTCGACAAGACAAATGAAAAAGGAACAAAAGAGGAACAAAAGAGGAAAAAGAACAAAAAGGAATAACAATGACAACAACTCCACCATAAGTTTCACTCGTCAACCATCTTTCGATCTATTGTAAGCAACTAACAATAAAACTACTTTATTATTTTGCGAATTATGATCTTCTTGGAAGACAAAAAAAGAAGAAAGAAACAACAACTTGTTAAATCAACAGTCGTCCGTTCCTTTGAACATCTAAAAATAAAATAATTTCATTATCCTTCAAATTCGAATTATGATCTTCTGCACATTTGTCTTTAATTTCGTCGCCTTCAAAAATAAATAAATAAATAAATAAAAAAAGGAAAGAAAAGAAATGCAACAACGTAATCGTTACATAATCAAACATCGTTCGGTGGCGCTTAATTAAACGGTTAAAAATAAAATCATTTAATAAAATATCATCGATCGAATTCAAATTACCGCCATAGCGAATCCTGAATGTTTTACGATCGAATGAAAAGCGATTGGCCGGGCTCGCTCGTAGCGCCAAATGGCGACGACCTAGCGGCGACCGCGGGAAACTTTGAAAACTGCTTCTCCTTCCACGAGAATAAGTCAGTCAGCTGCCTTTGCTTTCATAGGCCGTACGAGAAACGTAGAAGGAGAAAGAACGAGAGATAGAAAGAATGAGAGAGAGAGGGAGAGAAAGAGAATGAGAGAGAAAGGAAACAGCCGAGAGCTGGTAGGCCGATCGGTGCGAGGAAGGGGAAGGGAGAAAAAGGTCGTTGGAGTGGTAAACTGGTGTACTCGTGGCGCACACCGTCCCGGCTCTTCAGTCAGTCTTTGGATGGCGGAGTGTAAGTCGTGTGAATCGTTAAGGTTGTGTGTCTCCTTTTCTCTCTCTCTCTCTCTCTCTCTCTCTCTCTCTCTTTTGCACTCTCCCGTCCCCAACCGCTCCTCCCTTTTCCTCTATCGACCCTTCGATATTTCTTCCGTCGTGTAAACAAACGCGACGACATTTTTCTATCACTACAGATCGAACAACAAACGTTCTATAGGTTTATCATCTCTCGTTATTATAGTATAATTAGTGAATTTTCTTTAATTGCGTGATTCGCCAAACAAATACACACACACATATATATATATAGTATATATATATGATATATAAGGAGAAATTAAAAAGAGATAAGAAAAGAAGAAAGAGGCAAAGTTTAGAAGAGCATTAGTGAAATGGAGTGACGTTTCCGACTCTCTCAATGTGATCCTTTTTTTTTTTGATTTCTTCTTTGTTTTCTTTTTCCCTTCTTTCCTTCCTCATTTCTTTCCCTCTTCCCCGAAAAGAAGTTTAACAAATATGAAAATCTACGTCGAACGTGGACAAAAACAACATGAGGGATAAAACAACGCCGGTTAGACGAATCTTGGATGATTTTTAAGAAGACGATTACCGAAAGATTGTTTCAACGAGAGTATAAAAAGTAAGTGCTTCAAGTATTTTAAATAAGATTAAGTACTCAAAAGTAAATATTTCAAGTGTAACAACTCTACCTAAAAAAACTTTTCTCCTCTTGTTACGAGGCTGGTAGGTTGGAAGGTAAGGAGGGGATAATACAAAAAGAAAAAGAAAAAGGAAAAGAAAAAGTCAGCAAACTATTAAATTAGATACAGTATCTATTAAATTTGGAACGTAAGCGATATAGAATAACAGAAAGTAGACAAAAGTTATTACAAGCATAGATAGGCGTGTAGTTGGCGCTCCTTGATCACGTGACAGCAACGTTTAACCGAGCCCGAACGAAGGCGTCCTTAAGGTGCGCGTGGGTGTAATTAGTTATGGTTTTACCATCTCGTTAGAAAAAGAGAGAGAGAGAGAGAGAGAGCATAGAGTGGATGAACGAAGGTCTTGGAAGTGGTAAAATTTATTCTCGTCTTCGTCCTCATCCTCGTCATGCTTTGTAAGAGAATGGATCGTAAACAAAAAAATTTTTTTTCTTTCTTTTTTGCTCCAAGTAATCACGAGAATATGACGATTTACGGTTCTATACTTTTAGCGTTCTCATTTTCTCATTCTGTGTTTACATATATACGTAAGTACATAATTATTTATACATATTTTAGCGTCTATGCATTTATACGTAAAATATACGTATTTACGTACGTACGATTAAACGATGATATTTCTCTCGCGATTAATTCAACGACGACCTCGTACAATCGTAAGAAAGTCAATCGACAACTATATATATATATATATACATATATGGTCATCGTATTGAGAATGTGGGATCGAAGAGATCATTGCTGTTCGGACTTTCAATCGATTTGACGTTGACGAAGAGGGAAAGAGAGAGAGAGAGGCTTCAATTGAAATGATCTATATCGTATAGAGTATAGCGAAAATTTATATTTGAGTTTCATAGATTTCGCATATGTAGATCCTGGAACATAAATTAATAATACATCGTTGTACGAGATCTAGAAATTGATGTTACATATACATATGTATGTATATATATTTATTATATATTTACGATTTTCATATCGGTTAAAAAGACGACGTTTATAAACGAGCTTCGATTATCATGACTCGTGTGATCCTAATCTCTCTCTCTCTCTCTCTCTCTCTCTTTCTCTTCATCTCATCTCTATTTCTCTCTTGCCTATAGCCTGGTATTATAGGAGCATTTCAGTATCGTAATAGGATTATGGCATTAACGCACGTATCGAGGACAGTATCCGTTAGTATTAGCCACTTCCTGCCACGCACTCTCTCCTTCTC